TGCGAGGCTTTACCGATTATATTGCCACTGATAATAAGATTAGGAAAATCGTCGAGAAATTAATCCACATCTCTGGGAAAATTTTTGTTTCATTCCTGTCGAATACATTTGTGGTAGCACGAAATAGCAGCATGCGCCCTAAACTGGATTCAGACCAGGACGCGGTTGTACTCACCAGATATTCACGTTGGGTATCGGAATATCGCTTCAATTATTGCAACTTGCAACTGCTACGTATTTCTTCTACTTTCCAGCTGCCTTCGATTCAGTTTATAGAACAATGTTTGGGAAAATGATGAAACGATGGTGTTTCTGCGAAGGCCATTCGACTTATAAAAGCATTTTATCAGCATACGTTGGTACAGGCATGTGTATATGGAAATAAAAACTCGTTCGAAATTAGAAATGGCATCCGCCAACGCTGCGTCCTTTGCCGTAAAATCTTTAACTATATGTTATGTACTGAATAATGGACATCTTATCCTTCCAGTCGGAGGTGTCGCGAATAGCGAATAACAAGAAAAATAATAAATAAATTCTTCAAAAATTCTTGCTTAATCAGCTTCCTAACCAAAAAATCCTTCAACAATTTTTTTAATTTTTTTATGCGTTTTTTATTTAGTTTCTAATCCGCATTCTAGTCCACTTTTTTATGTACCAAAAAACACTAACGTAGCATGAGAAATATTTTAACTATATACTCGCATTTTTATTGCCGTAATCAGATAGCTGTAGTTTTTCTATGCATAATTGGTTAATTATTCTGCATGCCGTTCCCATTGAAAATGTTTTTTCTATAAGCGAAACATTATATATAGGCAAATAGATTCGGCGAGTTGAAGTTTGTTTTGTATTAGTTTGAGCTTTGTTTTGTAAGGAATTTTGTTTTGTATTGACTGGTATTGGTTTGTATTGTTTTATTTTGGAGTATTGCGGTATTGAGTATTGTTTAGTATTGTTGTATTGCTTTATCTTGATGACAATAAAGAGTTGGATCTACTGTTTGACCCTCATTGAGTGCAGTTTCATAAGTCCAACATCTTGTTCTAACCACATGGTCAATTCTCCCTCAAATCTCTCCTCTCAACGACAGGAAGAACCAGCCTAAATAGAAATGATGAGAGTTATTAGAAGAAAATTTAGTTAGTCTAGTGAGTATTCAATAATGTAGTATGGACTAGAGAAGGAATATGCAAATAGGAATTAACATGACAAAAAAAGAGAATATAAAAAATAAGAAGGAAAAAGCAAATGTGTGCCATCATTTAAGGAATTCTATCTTATCAGGCAGGTGCCAAAAGCATAAATTTTAACACATATCAACACATTATATTTTTGTACATTTTCATAGACTTTCATTCCAAATAATTTCTTCAAACTTCTAATAACTTCTAACTTCTAACAATGTTAATCTTTTTTAAATTGGTCTCAGTTGTACCAAACCAGACGAGAAAAATTTTAATGCAAAATTAGTAAATTAATCAATTAATTAATGGAAATATAGAGAAATTTTCTGAATCGACAGCAAATTAACCCATATAATTCTTCTTTCTTCTTCTTCTAATAACTCTTTACTGATTAGACTGAGTTTGGCCAAAAGAGTTTCTGAGCTGTCGTCGACAGTAATTCACTCCTTTTTTCATAGTCTAAGTCCATACATTGATGATCCGTCTATACATATGCCATATAAAAATCAGAACCACAAAAAATTATTTAAAATAAATTGAACTTCAAATATTCTTTATTAAATAAAAAAATTTGCATTATATCGAATAAGGTAAATCAAGAAAATATTAAGCTTTTTGCCAGAAAAATATTAAAATAATCCGTAAGATTAAAGAACAAATTCTCATTGTTCTTCCCTAAATCATTAAATTCTTTAAATATGCTATGTATATCGCCGTTAACCACTCTGTCAGTTTCTCTTTGCAGTCATTATAAAAGTGCCCAGGAAAATATGATATTGGGGAACAAAATTGGAATGGCTTAAGAGATCGCAAATGGGCTTTTATGATAAATAGAGAATTAATTGCAAATTGTTGCAAAAAAGCAGCGTGGTTTCGCAGATTGCTAAGGAGAGTCAGAGATTGTTCAGATCGGATTTTTCATTAGAACTCAAATAATTGTTAAGGAGGACCTGATTTAGATCTGACCTGTATTATTTGGGTCTTCGGCTTTTCCGTCATCAAAACATAGTATTAAAAATAATTCAAATAAATTTTCCACAAATAACATTTTCTCATTGCATTCATTGCATTCTAACCATTTAGCATTGTAGTTTTAATCCATTTTTTCGCTAATATTGTACCCTACTAATATTTATTAATAAAAGCCTATTATCATCTTGCTCGGCCCACTGAAACAAATATTCTATTAAAACTGCCTGCTTACGGGTAATTGTCTTAATAGGCTGAATTGAAACGAATTGAGCAGAACGCATAGACCATTCAGTGATATATGGGCCTATACGGTGGAGAACCAAGTATTCAATTTATTTGGCAGTGGACCGAAGGACTTGAAAGCACTTCTTAATAGCCAGTAGAATTAGCTAAATAGATATAATGTATATAATTAGATTAGATGAGAGGAAAAAGATTTTAAATGAAATCTTTGCAAGGGTTGTGGAACCAAAATTATTCCTTCTCATTTATTGTAATTTCTTGAAAATTTTTTCAAAACCATTATAATTCTATATAAACTACTACAAAAATTATTTATAATTCTATATTAATTTCGCTAATTTATATTTTAATTTAGAATGCGTGTAAACGTTAATAAATAATGGGAAATTTTTCAAATAAACAAATGAATCAGCGTTTTATATTTCTAGGAGTGTCATGGCAACCTAAATATACAAATTTTCTCTACAAATCTTTCATTCTTACTTTTATTCTTTTTTTATTATTATTACCAATATTATTACTATGTTTGTTAATAGTTACCATTATCATTATTACCGCTATTATTGTTGTCACTTATCACTATTATCATTGATACCACTATTATTATTGATATTTTGCATTTATTTTTACATTCACTTTCTATTCAATTCCTTATTTACCTTTTTTAAAGAAACTTTTTATTTGAAAATTTTATATACGAAATTATACAACGCAGATTCGCTACTTTTATTTCATTCAAGAACAACAGCAGACGATCGTCCTCGACGGTACTAATTTTAAAAATTTTAAAAACAGAAAGGTGCTTATTTCGGTACCATTTTTGTCAGCAATACTTTTTTCGAAAGAATAAACAATGGTGGATAAAGGAAACAATGGTGATCCTCGGAAAAATTACATTCTTAGAATTGCATCACATTTATTTGCATTAAATGTTAATGAAAATAAATTGCAAAATTTAAATGCTATTCAAAAGTTCTGCGATACTAATGCTTCATTATTAATTGTGGAGAAAAATGAAACGGTCTCTTTTTTTATTTTTAAATTTTCAATTGTGAAATTTTCAGATTTTTTATGTTCTTTAATTTAACGTTTTAACAGATCGATTTAAAAATTAAAATATTTGCCTTAATACTAGGTAGGTAAAACTGCAATGTTTGCTAAATTGCAAAATCTGCGGACAAATTGAAACCAATTTATATATAATTTAAATAGCAAAAATCTACGACTAAGTAACGAAATTTTGAAAAATATGAAATAAATATTTTTAAAAAACTCAAATGAAGGTTATATAGAAAGGTTTTTTTCTGAAAATGAATATTTGAAGAATGGAAGTGTAAAATTATCGAATGAATTGATAAATGATAATGTTACCATATCGAATGTGTTTCGGATAATATTTTATAAAATAAAATCAGTTCCATTAACAATCGAAAATTATAAGAAAGAAATATCATTGATAACATTACAAAGTGATTCAAGTGAAGAAGGTTTTCTAAATTCCATACGACAGGTCAGTTTCTTTTTTCTTTAAAGATTGTTCAATTCGAGCCTTTTGCTTTTGTCTTGTACTTCTTCTAACAGGCTAGTTAGCTAACTACAAGAGAAATACGCTTACAAGCTGGTATCATGCTTGATATTGAAAAAAATCACTCTTTTTTCCACCGTTTAAACTCGACTATCACTGGATCATCCATTCAAAATATATTCTGATCCTTCTGTTCCATGTCATTCCAGATCTTCTTGTTCCTCCTCGCCTTTGGCCCATAGAGTTTGTTCATTTAGTAGCGAAATAAGTGTCATTTCCTGCGATTACTGCAAAGAACCTGGTTTAACCAGCATAGATAAAGTTTTGACGATATTTTGATTATAGACGATATTTGATGCACCTATCTGCTCGGCGAATAAAATGCATTTTAGATATGATAATCTCATCGGCCATGTTTCAACAATAAGATGATGCGCATTGCCAGATATGCAAGAACTTTCTTTTTTATGCTAATATTACTGCAGTTTTACAGAGGTTCCGCTAGAACGTACTTCTAGCTGCGAATAGCCGTGAATTGGTCATTTAGTATAAGCGCGGGTCGAACATGTTTAAAATCTGCTAGTCCTGATCAGTTAAGAAAATTAGATATTTTTTCAGCATCTGATATGTGTAATGAAAATGCTTTCATCAGAGATTTTTAGATTTACAGAGATTTTTGTGTTACACTGTCTGTCTACTATCTCTTCCATTCCTTCATAACCAGCAAAAATGACTAATTTGTCAGGGTATAGTCTGTGGTATCATACTTTGGACTGATTTCTTCATCCTTTGAATGACGGCAAGAGGTCCATAATCCAACCTATGGCATAGCTGAATATCATATGGGAAAGGACGCAGCCTTGGCGGATACGAATAGAATTGGTTTGCTCCAGTCATCTAGTATTAATTCCTTCTTCAGTAACAGAGAGTGTTGAAGGTTAATTATGAAAAACGTTGGATGTTATTTGAAGACTTCAATCTGAAAATTGTAACATTCTCTACAATCTGAAAACTGCAACATTTTTTAGCTTTATTGGCCTTAAGCTTCTAAATGACGTAAATTATTCCTTGATCTTTTGGCACCTCATATTTATAAACTCGTTTCAGTCTGGGATGACAAATGGTGCACTGTAGTTAAGTTAAAATTCTCCTTCCATCAAGGTGACCTTTGATAGTTTTAACACATTATTATTGCACATCATTATTGCCTTGGATCATTTCAATGAACGAGTTGTCGTTGCTTTATGAAGACGGAATAGTTTCATCTTCTCGATCTCCATATTCAGAGCCATATCACTCCAATATCTGTTTCTGTTATCTGCTAGTGTTGTTGCATATCTTTTAAACATCTGGTGGCCATGATCTCCTGATATTTTCTAGTGCTTTAGCAACCATTTCGGACAGTTGAGCAGTTGCGCATATTTCTGAGTAGCATTTAACCTAGTGTGGATTTGGCCGAATTTCAGAAACATGCCTTTAGTTAGAAGTAGTATTCATCGGCAGGGATGCCATTGAAATTTGCATCAGTGAATTTCGATAACTCGGTCTAAAATGCATTTAGTCTCCAAGCCTTCAAGTCTTCTATAAGTCTTTTTGTTTGAGATAGTTGAATGACATTGTGAGACGTTATTTATGCCAATTTTGCCTCGAGCCATAAATAGTCTGATCCATAAATATTTCAGCGTCCGATAGGTACGACTATCTAGTATGGAATTATTTCAACGGCGACTGATTAAGATACAATTAACCTGGTTGAAGTCTTGGGGTTTCACCCAGAGAATTCCATTTGTCTTCTTCGATGTCGGGAACATATATTGGTGGCAAAAAGTCCATACTCTTCAAAGTAAAGCAAAGAAGGCATTCTCCACTGGCTCACTGCTGGAACTAATATGCAATATTTACTATAAAGAGTCCCGTGATCTACACACAAACTCCAATCTCCTATAATGATCATCTTATCTTTCGAGAAATTTGTAATTCTACTTTGGAACTTAATTTTGTCACGGTTATTTGAGTATAAAGTAGAAGCATAAGAACACTGATGATCAAGACATTGCAAAATTTCCATATAGGGTGAGCACAGATTTTACGATATTTGCTTCCACTCAATTTATCATTTATTATTATTAATTATTCTTATATTGGAAGCATATCATCATAGTGTCGATTCTACAAATAATGAATGGGATAAACTATAATAAAAACATATAACTTTACCTTTTTTAAATAATATGGATTTTTAAATCCATGTTTTATTTGTCTTTATCCTGTTATCCTATTATTATTATATTCTCTATGTTCTTAAAGGTATTCGCTAAAGCACTGTTGAAAAAGGATGAGCAGAAAGTTGATAATCAGTTAATTGGTCTAGTTAATGAACTAGAAAAAAGTCAAAGTCTTTCAGCCAAAGTTCAAAAGAAAAATGCCATATTTGATGGTAGTTTTTTTAGTTATTTTTAAATTATTTTTATTGAAATTATAAATTATTTTATTAGTATTATTTTATCATTTTTGATAAATACTTTTATATTGCCAAAAGATAAAAAGGTAAAGTTATAAAACAGAAATATGAATAGAATAAGAAATCTCGTCACCACTAAGTATCGAATTTAAAAACATTTCTTAAATAATATCAGATTTCTTAAATAATATCAGATAACAGATATCAGCAGATTTAAAATAATATTTAATAATCAGGAATTCAATCACTGAATGAAGAAATTACATATTGGAAAAAAAGGAAGAAAAATGGCGATGAAAATGCAATTGAATACTGCGGATCCTTGAAACCTCTAGCTGAAAGTTTGAACCTGATTAATGAATATTCATTAGCTGAATTCGGCAGATTCGTAGACATTGCGGAAGACTGCATAGACGATTTGTGGAAATGTTTGAATCCGTTTCCCGAATCTCGTATGAAACAACTTATATACATCATAAGTAAGAAATAACAACTTATATAAGATATTATTTTTACCTGTTTTTTAACTTCAATCATAATTTCTTCATATCATTATAATCAAACATTTGATAATGTGACTGCACTTATTGCCTCATTCATCTTAAGAAGGATGAAAAAGTTCGTTGAGGCTATTCAGGATGATGAAAATTACAATCAGTCTTTTCATTAGATTTTTTTTTAAAAGTTTTTGAAAAATTTTTTATAAAAATAATGAAAAATAAATATTGTAGATACACCACACCGTATTCTTAAAAGTGTTAAATACTCTCTATTTCTGATTAGGACATTATGTAAGACTTAGCTATTGGCACAGTTGGAAATTTTCTGGTCTGGCGATAGAAGAAGAATCATAACCTTCATTTTTAATGATTGATTTTAGGTCTTAGCGGCAAGAATTTCAAAATTGGATATAAAGCATTTGATTTTATGTATGTCCGATTTAGCATACCCGATCTATTTTGATTCCAAGCCAAACGTAATGAAACAAATTCAATCACAACGTTAAAAAATTTTTCAAATTAGAATCGAAAAAACTATTTTCCGAGGAATTAATTGCAGATTTGCTTAAATTTTTTTCAACACGTGCGACAAATGCAAATTTTCTTTAGGTAATATTATTATGGAATCTATAGTCAATAAAATTGATAGCAAAACTATATGGAAATCAAGAAGTTCGCTGAATATATTGCAGTTAGCTCTATCTTATTGCGATCAGTGGCTTTTTGCCGTAATGATCCTCGTGGAAGACCCATGGAAAGTTGCAACAGATGATTATATGAAGGATGAATCACTTCAGATCGAAGACTTTAAAGGATTTCGAAATCATGTTAAACACGTAACGTTCATTTTAATCAAATTTTTGCTAATTAGAATTGTTTATTTAAAAAACATGGATTCCATGAATTAACAAATCGGTTATCATATGTAGATCATTTTCGATTTTGACAAAAACCGCAGCAAACTTGAAGATTTCTTATAAAATCTTAATTCAATAAGATCTTAATGAATGAATCAAAAAGTAAACGTTAAGGTGGTGATGTTGAAAGAAGTGATAATTGAAATAGAAGCATTAACAAATAATTCGTTTGCATCAAATGCTGTTCAAGAAGCGATAAGTAATTCAATGAAAGACTTCGAAGTACTTGTATACAATCCTAACACGGAATCCCAGTGGAGATCAAGAATTAAAGTATATCCGATTTATTAAAATATTTTTACTTTTTTCTATAGATTTTTCAATTAGGCAGATACTAAATAATGCTCAGAAATTACGCGGGCAACTGTCGCCAAACATCGAATGCAAAATAATGTTATTCATTAAGATTGCTGAAGATTCTTTCAAACCAATTATTGAGAAAATATTACCTATGCTTCGGAAATTTCTCAAAGAAAATATTGACGGCGATACAGTTTGTTTTTTTTATTTTCATTTTCGATAGCTGAAAATTCATATAAAAATTTAGTTATTCTTTATATTATTCTTATAAACCTACTGAAAAGATCATAGGTAATAAGCAAAAGATGAAACACTAAGGTCTTTTTCAAAAAATTTTTACTTATTTTTACTTAATATTAATTTAAGATCTTTAAAAAACACTTTTCAGAATTTATATAACCTTATAAAATACAGAAGTTTATTGAACTTGACGACAGTTAAAGAACGCTTAATTTCTGAACGGTACCTTGTTTTGAACTTGAATTATTTTTATATCATTATCTGCTGCAATTGCAGTTTTTTCAGGCTGTGCAAAAAATTTTCGATTTCGAAATTTTCGATAGATGAAAAATAGCGAGATTTTTTATTATATTATACATTATAAAAGTAATCTCTCATGAATTGTTCGAAATTGCAGCGAAATTTTTGCTAGTCAATTATTGGAGCTGATTGGTTCAGAAAAATATGATTTATCAAAAACATCGGCGATAAATAATATGGCACTTGGCCGTTTTTTGACTGAAATTGCAACAAAAATAACGTTTATACGAAATCAGCTTAGTCAGGTTATCAAAAAGCACTTTGCCATATATTTAGGATAACCTGGATTTTAATAAAATTTAAAATCATAATATAATAAATATCATTAAAAACAAGGAAAATGCATATCAGAAACGCACTAAAGCGTTTCCAGTGGAAGCTTTCTGTTTTGCTTTGAACTTTCACCATTTAATAATTAAAGCTGTTATGGTAATATAAGATAAAACAACTAATTTATAGATGGAAATTATCAAAAAAATTTGCGGTGAAATTTTAGACGATATTCGTATTTATTCTGAATTAAAACGTCGAATAATTAATACAATAGATGGGCTGAAAAGCTCAGAATCGCATTATTTCGACGAATGGTATTGCATTAACTTTTTTCAAAACTTTCTTGAGCAATTTATTTATTTAAAAAAGGGAAAAGGGATTTTAATATATTTTGTGGATTAATAATCGTCATTTTATAGGAAGAACTTATTCATTTATTTCATTATTTATCATCAAGTCAATTTTTTTTGTTAGAAACTATTTATTTTAAAAATTCGCTGAATTCGTAGAAGTATTTTTGTATAATATTTGAGTAAATCCAAACCGAAATTGCTAGATTCGAAATCTTTTCATACAATCGTTATAAAATAAACAGGAAATAGCCGCTCCATTAAGACCTTATAAAATCAGTTGGGTAAAATCAACAGTTTTATTTAATATAATTAATCATTTTTTGTCAAATTTATTGACTATCTGTTAACTGATAACACTGGATAGGAGAACATGGCTTAATAGGTTGTTGTTTAATTCGGAGCGCAAATACTGAGGTCTCCTCGCAGCAGTACCTATCCAAAAATGCGGATGGTGCTGGCGACTTACCTTTATTTCTATCGCCGAGCGACTCCTTGATATATTTGTCCAGTGCCAGCAGAACTAGTCTGATAATGTCTAGAGCTCTTAAAAGAGATAATGCTAATTACATATAACACTAATAATAAATAAACAATTCCATATTATTGTGATAATAATAATAACAATAATAATTTTAATAATAATGATTTTATATAGGTGCCATGATATTATTGAAAAGATTGATGATAATATAAATTCGATTGCATTAGAAACGAAAGGTCGATTAATGACTATTGAAAAAAAAAAAGGAATATTGGTAGTAAATTATAATGACGATTTGCCAAAACTATTGAAAGAAATTAGACAATTAGCAAGCTTTGGATTTGCAATTCCAAAAAAAATTATTCATTGTGCTAAAACAGCAGAAACATTTTACAAATACGCGATCGTTCTCAAACAGGTTTCAACATTTCTTCAAATTTTTAGTCAAAATTCTTTTAAAAAATCGGGATGGTGCTGGCTACCCAACCGACCCACTCAGTCTTCAATTCAATCTTTGATGATAATTCCCAGACATATTATTAATACAGCAAATTTTACCAAAAAGAGCGAGTATTTCCTTTACTAAAAATTTTGGAGCTTATGCGTGTGTTGCAAAATAAGTAATAAGTAAAGTAATTTTTGAAATAATTGTTTTAAAATTCAAGGTGGCTCACTTTTATAATACAATAGAGCTACAAATGTTGCCATGCCAACAGGCAATGATGCTCAATGAAGCATTAGCTTTTGAAAAACTTATTTTTATGGATAAAAAAGACGATACAATTTGCAATAAAATAACTTGGGATAATCCAAAAGAATTGGAGAATTTCATAAAGAAATTACAGCAAGCTGCCGAACGGCTCGTCTTACGTAATAGGTTAATTTTAAAAAACATTTCAAATAACATTTATTATTAAAAATTTATTTCAATTAGCGTAGCTCAAGGGATTTTTTTATAAACCAGTAATGTGAAAAATTTTTACAGAAATCTTCAAAAGGCACATAGCGAAATTGGAGACAAAGTTAAACAACTAATGGAGCACGATTTATTAAAAGGGATAGATAAATGGAAAGATATCATGACTGATATCCGAACACAATTCGTTGAACAAGAAAAATATATTGGAAATAGAATTCATATGCGTACGTGGATTATACACTGGGAAATACAGATTTATAAGGTTTTTTATCCATCTTTGTTAAAAAATATTTTTATTTTTCAATTGTGTTTTTATTTTTTCTGTTAATTATTTTCTTCACCACATTCTGATAGCTGATCAGCTTGAAGCTATCAAATTGCTATTTTATTGCTTTAAGGTTCTACAGTTGCAATATCGATGGGGAATCGAAAGTTTTCACATGCAAATTTCTCAGATAGATACACAACTCGTGTTTAAGTAAGTTTTGATGAAAGTTAATTGCCAAATGTACCAATTTTAAAAAAGATGCCATTAAAATATTAAAAAAATTTATTGAAATAAAGTAAGGCATATTGCTTTGTACTTACGGTAGTAGAAAGGATAAGGGAAGAGGAAGAATTTAAAACAGAGGTAAAATGTGGAAGTGAAATATGGAGAATATGGATATATTGAGATCACGCAGGGAGAATTAATTTTACAGAATCATAGGGAGATTATTTCAACATCATTATATTTCAATTTTTACAATAAATCATTTTCTTATAAAAAGATTCTGAGGATATCAAATGATTTTGAGAAATAATTAATGGTTTGCAGCTGGAAAATAGACACAATAGCCGGTAAATTTATTTAGAATATTTTATTTAGAGATCAGTGTCTGCAACTGCGACCACCAATGGAAGAAATACGCGCGAAGTATTATAGAGAAATGAAAAAATTTTTGGGAATACCTCAAAAATTTCGAGGAATTCAAGATAGTGATCAGGTAATCAAAACAAATGATTCGAAAACTGATTATGTTCATTTATAATATTACCATTATTGTGATAATTGCATCATTATTATCGGTTATCACTGGTTCAATTTTGACCTGAAAACACTAATAAGGGTAAGACTACCGTTAAAAAAACTGAGAAGAGCTGCCAGCCCATCAGTAGTTCTGTCGGCAAAAGTTTTTAATTGCAGCATAAGAAATGGCCTCACTACAAATAATAAGCGCTAACTGCTTATTTTTCACCATTATTGTTTATGTGTTATCAATCTATTATATACCTAGGAAAAAAAATTTTTAAAGTGATTTGAGTGCATTTCTTTAAGCTTACCATTTTAATTAGAAGTATTTTAGAAGTGAGAGTATGTTTCCAACTTTAAAACTTCGCAGCTTAATTCTTCATAAACCTCACTTTTGCAAATTTTGTCACCAAATAGATATTTTAGGGCTAAATTTAATCAGTCATTAACAAAATTTGATTTTTAGATTTAATCCAGCAAACACTTTCAATTTATTAGCGAATTATTATTTGAATTAGTGCTGATATCTTACTGATATGATATATCATTGGGACCTACTAGCTGATAAAGATGTTATTTACAGTTATTAATAAAAATATATTTCTAGATGAATAAATTATATACGACACTGGTCGAAAATAATGCCAATCGATTTCACAATATTTATGAAAAGACTGAAAAGCTTTTCCAAAATCTATCGAGGATTACTGATAACTATGAAGTAATATAATTAGTTAATTTATTTTTTATAGTTTTATTTTTTCTGCGAATCTTATAATTTCTGACAAACAAAATCGGAATAAAACAATAAAGTAAAGAATCACAACTAAATTAAATTGAATCTCTGTCGAGCATTTGTAAAAAAAAAATGCCACTAACATTTTCATTATGCAGAAAATAAAATTCATGGTGAAATATTTAAATATATTCATTTAAATTAATTGGAAACTTATGTAAAATTATCTAGTTCTTTTAAATAAAAAAAATGCTTTAAAGGAATGGGTTTTACTTGGTAAAGTCGATCTCGAGGAATTAATTGAGGACAATTTCAAAAAACCATCTGATTGGGAGACCCATATAAAATTACTTAAAGCAAAAAGCCGTGAAGCAGAAAAACTACCAAAGTTATATTTCAGTTATATGTTTTTCGAAAAATTTGAATGCCACTTTTCAATCATTATGAGATTTATGAGATTTTATAAAGTTTTATTTTTATCATTTTAATCGGAAATAAAATATACAAAAATTAAAACGTTTTCCCACTGATTATTTGCAATTTTATAAAGCGCGATTTTAACCCATTGTTGATTAAAAGATAAGATAAAACTGTGACAAAGCATTCCAGTGAGATTAAATTAGAATGCATCGTTGTGAATACATCAGCTATTAAAAGAACTATTGATGACTTACTTCAACGTCTATTTGATACGCTTATTTGGACACTTCGCCACTCAATAAATACACAAACTCAGGTAATAAGCGTTTATTATGATTCTATAAAGAAATTTATCTCTAAGACATTCGAAAGAATTTTTTTCGCTTTGGATTTATTGGTGAAAATTATCTTATTTGAGGCTATAAGTCGATTTCTTAATGATGCCATAAAGACGTTAAGTTCGAGACCACAGACTTCTGACGAAATAGCTGAAGCGAATTATAAGCATACTCAATTCGCCAAAACAAATAATGAAGTTCGCTTTTCTGCATATTTCCTCGTTTAATTTCGATTCACAAGATTTCCCATATAATTATGAAAAATACTTAGAAACTACCCCATTATTTATTCATTCATTATTTAAAGGTTTATTGCTTCAATTCCTATCTTTGAACTTCCTTGGCACAGGCTGAGCAGTAAGAATTTTTGAACCTTAAGTCTTGCTATATTTCTCAAGTACTTCCGAATTATTTTTAATTTTTACGCATGTAGATGAAACAAACGCTCATTGCAATTGATGAAAAAAATATTTTGTTGCGTTCCGTTAGCGGGAGTGGCGCTGAACAGGTTACTACAATTGTGCAACAATGGGGAAATTTCGAAATGTTGCTAAATAGCCATCAGTCAATGATTAAAGAACAGGTTCATATATCCAAGCAACTTTTTGACTGCATTTAAAAAATCATATCTATTCAGTTATGGAATAATTAAATAAAAAATCCAAACGAATAATAAGATAAAAATCTTTAACAATAACAATAAGAGAAAGAGCACGATAGCAGAGAGAATCATATTACATCAGCGTAAAAGATAAAATTTCCTTATATGGGAGAAGTCATTAAACATCAGAGTAGTGCTTTTGAGCCGCTTGTACTTCTATCGCCATGCAACTCCATAAAAAATTTTAACCATAGTAACAGCCAGCGGAATGAGCTTAACCACAAATAATGAAGGCTGATCACTTTCTCACCTAAATACTCAGTATTATGTTAGTATTATGATAATAGTTCTTGAAAAATTCTTTGTAGAAAACGATAAATTAATTCAGTTTTTTCTTCTTTTCTTCATGAATTTTTGTAATTTTAGGTCGAAAATTTGAAAATTACTATTTTTAATCGAACAAAAGACTTTAGCGAACAAATTGATAAATTTTCCGCAAAATGGAATCAACTGAAACCAAAAAATGATATATTAAATGATACTAAGGAATTATTATTGAAAGCAATCGAAATTATAAAAGAAATGCGAAATGAATGTGATCAAATAATAAAGATTCGTGAAAAAGTTCGGTAAATTTTTTAAATTTATATCGCTTCATATATTTATTATTTTATTATTTTTTTATAAAATTTTATATAAGTCAACATCTTTATTAAATATAATTAAATATAATTACTTTATTGAAGTTTGGAATGCGAATATTTCAATATTGAAAAAATCGAATTCCCAATTCTCGATGAAATTGATAATGAAATACGAAATAGTGAAAATAATTGGTCTTTGTATGAGAAATTCAGTAGTGGTCTGGAAGAAATGGCTGGTAAAGAATGGATTTTATTCAGGTTTTTTTATCCGTAGATATATGCATAGCCTGACATGGATTGGCATAATTGATTTATTATTCTTCTAAATTCCCTTTTGTATTCAACAAAAAAAAAGTCAAAAAACTGACTTTTCAGATCGAAAACGTATAATTTCGATGAGTATTTGCAAGAATGGTTTAATAAACTAAAAATAATGCCAAAGTCACCTATAACAATTAGAATAATAAGAGAGATAGAAGAATACAAGGTATATATATATTTTCAATTCTTCTTTTTAAAAATCTTCAGAATTTTTAGAAATTTCTTGGAGAAGTTTTTAAAGATTTGTAAGTTAATTGTTTTAGGACATGAGTGAAGGATTCAAATATTATCGTGGTGAGATGTTTAGCAATGAACATTGGATTGAATTGTTTCGAATATTAGGTTTACCAAAAGGTACAACTATTGAATCACTTCACTTTGGTGATCTTCTTAAAGTTCATCATTCAATTATTTCGAACGTTGAAAAATTAAGAGATTTAAATGCGCGAGCGCAAGGTGAAGTAACAATTCGTGAAGCACTGCAAGAACTCGAACTCTGGGCCGCTCAGGTATTTTTCCAGATCAATGTTTTTAACAAAATAAAACTTTAATCCTAGCTTTTCCTGACCACTAAACGAAATTAGAGTAAGGTTAATAAGCAAATTCCTTTTTTATATTTTCCTATTTTTCCTATTTTTTCCTATTTTTTTCCTATTTTTTCGGTCACTTATGGTCATTTATATATTATTAGGAGTATTTTTTACAGATGGAATTTTCATTGCTTGATTATAAACTTATGAATGGATCAATGATAAAAATTGTAAAAAATTGGAAAGAATTAATGAATTCGGTAATAATTAAATGTTGAATAATCTGGTGATTTTTTCAGACGAATGAAAAATTTTAATTTTTTTTGCAAAATTTATTTCTTAATTTTAATTTATTTAATATTTCGCGAATTTAAAAAGAATTTTGGAATATGCAAAGAGAATAGCCAATTTTCTAAAAAAAATTGATTTGAAATAATAATTGAAATTTGAAATAATTGAAATTTGAAATAATTTTGTCACTTTCTAGTAGCTTAAATTTTCCAAATTTACAGGTTAAAGATAACCAAGCTCTCTTTCTATCGCTCAAAAATTCACCCTATTATCCGGTTTTTAGCGACAAAATTGCTATTTGGGAAACAAGGTTATTATTTTATGGATTATTTTCAGTATTTAAAGAAGTCAGTTTAATAATTATATTTTTTTGTTATGAGCATTTATGAATATGAATAATGTATAATGTATGATGTATTTCTTATGCATAAATTGGTGATAAGATATAAATAGCTTGAAATTGCAGGTTAACCGATATTGATTTGTACTTACATTGGCTAAATGAAATCCAACGTAAATGGATTTATTTAGAGCCTATATTTGGAAGAGGAGCATTACCTTCTGAATTATCTCGCTTCAATAGAATTGATGTTGAATTTCAATCCGTGCTTAACGGTATGCGTTACGAAACTTTAACCGAGTACACTATCGACGCCACATATTAAGGCGAATAATACAAAATAATAAAAGTAAAAGCAGTCGTTATCAATAACCAATGCCATAGTGCCATTACTTCAGAAAGTAATGCTATAAAGCAAGACCAAATCATGAGAAGCACAAGAACTTTCCACAATAAAGGCGCTCAGCATATTTCTCATGAAATTAAACGAATCGTTCGAAAAAAAAATATGATCTGAATATTAAAATATTTTGAATATCATGTTAACATTATAAAAGTTAACATTTTTCAAATGATTTAGAAGATTTTTAAAATGAGATTTAAAAAAAGATTTCATTTAGACATCCGTCAAGACAGCCGGATAATGAGCCTATGTTCGCGGCACTCATTAAAAGGTACTCTCGAACATAGCATCGACCAATTAAATCGGTGTCAACGAGCACTTAACCAATTTTTAGAGGTATTAGCTAAATACAGTTTGTCACAGGCAATTTCAAACTGAATCGTAAGATGCAACATTGGCTATGTCCAATTTTGCTTTTCGATAATTTTGTTTTAGCTCCATAATTTCAGGAAAAAAGAAGAGTTTTTCCTCGTTTTTATTTTCTTGGTGACGATGATTTATTGGAAATTCTGGCACAATCAACAAATATTACGGTCATCCAGGCACATTTGAAGAAATTATTCCAGGTTCTTTATATGAATTATAAATTTTATAGGAGATAGAGTCATCATGAGAATATTCAGAAAATGATTTTTAAGCAATCAAGACATTTTCTTAATGAATTATTTTTTTAAAAACAAAAAATTTATATTTGCCTCGCCAAGTTTCCGTTAAATCTGAATTTTTATAGGGAATCCACAGAGTCGCTTTTAACGACGATAGTAAATTAATAATAGCAATGGTATCTGCTCAAGGCGAATATGTAGCATTAATGAAACCAGTTCAAATCGTGCCACAAGCGGAAGTATCTCTTTAAAAAACAAAAATTATAAATTATAAAAAAATAGATTTTTCCTAGATTTTAGAATCTTAAATAAATTTCATAGATCATTCATTTTTATATATTTATATAAACTCTGCATAAACTCAAATAAGTATTCCGATCGGTGTTTGAGATTTGATCATATCTATTCGCATTTTTTTTATTTTGGATTTTTAATTATTTATCCATATTTATTACTGTATGGGAAACTTATTAATTACTTGTAATTTTTGTACACTTTAGATTATAAATATTTTATTATTATTTTATTTTATCTTATAATATTTTAGATTTGGCTACAAGAACTTTTGGATATAATGCGAAAAACGATCAAAGCTCTTATAAATCAATGCGTTTACGAAAGCAGTCCAAATCCTGCAAATTATCCATCACAGGTCTAATGAAATATTTCGAAATACATTTTTTTCTGCTTTAGTATTTTGTGGGCTTAACTGTTCACCATTCAGGTATTGTGTTTAAGTGAGCAAATTCGATTTTGCAATGAATGCGAAAAAATGATAGAATCAAAAGAATACTTAACGGAATTGCGCAAGAAACTTTGCCAACAACTGCAAAATTATACAGCTACTCAAGTAGAAGATGAAGTATTGAATCTAAAACTGAAATGTCTTATACTTGATCTTATTCATCGAATCAGTATCATTGACGACCTTATCAATAATCATCCATGGTAAATCATGAATTATATTATATCTGTATGTCAATTGCTAATGAAATGAAACGAAACGCCCTTATCTTATCAATAAAGACAAATTTATAAATTGAAACATCGAACGATTACGATTAATTTGGCAAAAATATAAAGCTTTTAGCAAAACTTAGAATTGTTTAGCAAAGCTACAAGTTGGGTTTGGCAAAAGCAGTTGCGCTTCTATTTGGATCGATCATCGCAAAATATTGTTATCCGACATGTAAAGGCGGAATTCGAATATACTTATGAATATCAGGTATTATAAGAAGTTCAGTTAAACACTTTTAAACATTTACAGACATCAACATTTACATTTCATTGCGTCGATTGTACAACAACAATGCAAAACATCAATTCGCTTTATGTGTTCATTATTTCTGCTTATAATAAATAAGTTTATAAAATTCTTACTTAAACTAGTGAATAGTGAAGTGAATAATTCAGGGCAATGCCAATAAACTGGTACATACACCACTCACGGACAAATGTTTCTTAACATTAACTCAAGGTAAACATTAATTTCAGCATTAAATGAAATTTTTAAGGTAAATAAATATATATAAATAAATAAATATATTCTTTAAAAAAAACTATATTACTACTTTAATTGCGTAAGAACCAATCACTTTCAGCAGTATCCATGGGTCTTGGAGGGAATCCTTATGGTCCTGCTGGAACCGGCAAAACAGAATCTGTAAAGGTTATATTTAAGTTATGCGGACAATTTATCGAAAATAAGTGGGAATGACGGTATAAAGCAGGGCTCCAAACCATTTTCTTGCATCAATCTCCCACAAAAGAAATATTTTTCCTCATCCACCGCTTTGGAATTTTGGAATTTTCATATTATTCCCGAAAATTTTTTATGTCGTATTTTTTATGTTCGTTCTTAATTCTTTTATTTATATTTCTCTTACTCGTTTACTTGTTCATCGATCCTTCAAGATCCGTCGACCCCGAAAGAATCTATATCGACACCATCAAAGATTCCTAAGTAAAAATAAAACCGACTTTCGCATAGCAGATATTGTGGAATTTCCAATAAAAAACTAATTTCAACAATGCTATTATAAAAGCAATAACAGAACATTGCAAAAAATTTAGTTATATAAATTTATATGCTGAACGGTTTTAGTAGAAAAAGGTTTTAATAGAACGGTTTTAGTAGTAGAAAACTTTAAAAAAATGAGGTCAGGAAATAAAAATTTTTCATTTCTATAGAAATGTTTTACAGTAATGAAATATCGAAAAATTTTTGTGACAATGTTCAACAAATTATTTCTTAATTGTTTGAATTCTGGCCTTATTTTTAAGCAAAAGTCTCGGTTTAACACATTTAAAACAAACATGATAATTTCATATAAAATTTTAATAAAACATCATAAACATTATATATATTAAATTCTAATCATCCGAATTATTGTATCCCATTAAAAATAAAATAGCAATTTTCCAACAGATTCGATGTCAGCGAAGAGTTCCGGCGGCACTTTGGTCACCATTCATCACAAATCAAATTTCACTAATCCCAGATTCTAAATTATTAATGCAAAATATTATAATATTATACCATATGCTCGAACAAATTAAATTAAACAAATTAAAAATCTGGGACTAACAAATTATAAAATTTATTTTAAAAAATGATGTTAACGAATATTTTGAATTGTAGGCACTTGCAAATTTGTTCGGACGACAAGTTTTAGTGTTCAATTGTGATGAAGGAATCGACGTGCAAGCAATAAGCAGAATATTTATTGGATTAGTAGAGAGTGGTGCATGGGGATGCTTTGATGAATTTAATAGACTAGATGAGGTCAGTCGATAAATCAATCGACAAATATTGAAAAATAAAATATTTAATATTTAATATTTATTTCATATAATTAATATGACATTAAAAAGTGTGCGGAATATCCAAGCTTTGTTTAAAAATCTCATCGTTTAATACCTTGTTTAGAATTGCTAAAAATGAATATTTATGCTAATTTTTCTTATTTTTTTCGACTAGAATTGAAATATTATATAAAGGAATGCATTAATTCCTCCTATGCGATAATTTCCAGACAGTATTATCAGCTGTTTCGATGCAAATACAAATCATTCAAGACGCAATAAAATCAAGTCATCCATTTTGCACCATTGAAAAACGAGAGGTTGGTGATGTTGGTGAGTTCATTTGAATTCAATAGTATTGACTGTATATTTTAGCAAAAAAAAGTTTAGATGAAAGTGAATCGGAATTCTGCAATATTTATAACATTGAATCCAGCTGGAAAAGAATATGGTGGGCGAAAAAAGCTCCCTAATAATTTAAAGCAACTCTTTAGACCTGTTGTTATGGCAGTGCCTGACAATGAAATGATCGGTTTGTGTTTTGTTTTCACTCCACGTCAGTGATTCTCAACCCTTCCTTCTCTAGCATGCTTCTGTGTGGCTTTAGACATTAGTAATAGGCCTTTATCCATTCTTCTCTTGAAGTCTTGAAATTTCCCAGATGACAATCGCTCACTAGCATTTAAATAAAGCATTTGGAGAAGAGCTGTTTTTTAAGGCTGTTCAAGTTGAATTCCACTAATAAGGATAATTTTATAACAATTATAACTGTTAATTTTCAGCTGAAACATTATTATATTCAAAAGGATTTAAAGAAGCAAGAATTCTGGCTAAAAAATTGGTTACAATTTTCGATATGAGCAAGTTTGTTTTGTAAAGTAATGAATATTATTAATAAAAATATTAAAGGAAACATAAATATTAAAGAACGTGTTGTCATATCTGATAAATTTCTGCTTATTTGCTTATTTGTCCGCTTAGATTTTTTCAAAACGATTTTTCAACGATTTTGCATGTGCTATGAAATCTCATTCAAAAATATAGTGATTGATAATCGTCAAACTTTTTTATTTTGATTAAATGATTAATAGAAGTTATTCATTAGATTGTTGTAGATCATTACTTAGTAGCCAACAACATTATGATTGGGGACTACGAGCAATAAAAACAGTTCTAGGCGGTTGCAGGAATATAATGGCCAATGAGCGAAAAACCGATGAGAATCAAATTATTATTGAGGTTAGGCAGACTTATTATTAATTAAAAAATTAAGTATTTCTGTTCTATTTCTGTTTCGTGTTGTTTTGTTCTGAAATAGCCTGAAAAATAATGGTTCTTCCTCCTTATTTGATGAATGGTGAGAGCACAATAGGGAGAAAAGACGTGGAAAAAGCTTTTAAAGCTATTCGATAATGAGGGACGAATATTGGTGAAGGCATAGATAGTAGAATAATAAGAGAAGATGACGATTGAAGAGGTGATGAAAAGGCATGTTCCAACACGGTACACCACGGCATTATGAGTTAAGCGATAAAAGCATCACAGTGATTTTTTTGTTTATCGACTTATTCCGAAAAGAACGAAGCAATTATGCATGTATTTTGCACCCAAAAAATGAAAAAATGAAAAAAGGCGAATATAAGGCAATTTGAATGTTTACATATAAATTGCTTGCAGAAGAACTGGCTACAGATCGCTAAAAAACTTCCTAACTTCCTAACTTATTCCCGTAACTTCTCCTGATTAACTTCTGCGATTTCTAAAAAATCTAATTTTTATAAGAATTTGTTATAAGTTTATTTTACCAGAGAGTCACCTGGCGATAGAATTACAGGTAAATTTCAGGGATTCGATGGTTGGTTTACCTTCAGTTAGCTTGAATTCTGAGATCAAAACGATAATCCAAACAATAACTATTAGCTCCTCCATTAGTAGGAGCATTATTTTAATCTTCTTTTTACCGCTTTCTCTTCTCCAGTTTGCTTCCTTAATGCATCATGAAACTCCAAAATAAACTTTTGCCACGATCGCAAGAAACTATAAAATTGCAATAAAATGGTATATGATGTTATAGAATGAATATGGATAGAGTTAGAAGAAAAAGGTTTTTTGAGAATTTTGAGGAAATATCAAGGGGTATGCCATGATATGAAAATAGTAAAATGAACATTTTCATTAGTAATTAGTTGATGCGTTACAAATAGATTTGCAAAATTTCAGACCATTGTTTTACAATTATAGCTCGTAATATCCTAGAAATTCTAATAATAAAACCAAATATTTCTCGTTAAAAATCATTTCTCGTTTAATCCTCCTAACCTTCAATGAACAACATATATGTGAATCTAATGTGCCATTTATAGATTTATTGGTAATCAGCATTTATTTATTTACTACTTTTTAATTTCAAATTTTATCATTTATCACTGTGAACTAGAATATTATAAAATTTTTTTAGGCCCTCACATTGCATACTTTGTCGAAATTGACATTCGCAGATTCCATTCGGTTCAAAAAATTGATAAACGATGTATTTAGCAATTCTCAACTAAATTATACTGAGGTACATCGATTTTTTTGCATTGGAAAGCAATAATTATGGCAGAATTTTTTAAATAAATTCATTATACATATTTTGGATAATATTGCAAATCAAGTATCAAAAAATGTTAAATAAAATTGGAAAAATAAGTCTAATACCACGCCACCGCGCCAGAGTTGCTTATTGTTAACTACGAAAGCGAACGTCGAAGTGAAAGAAAATTTAAAAAATTTTGTGTGCGAGAAGGACATTTGAATAAAATACACGATGGTAGAGGCGAAACGGTGAAATTATATTTTTACATAAATGCGATAGAAATTTGGCGATGAAACGATTGAAGGAAATGTTGAAATGCACGGTTAGAGGAAACGAAAAAAGGAAGATCCAACAAATATACCGTATATTTCTCTAATACCATAGTACACTAGCACCGGGCAATTAAGATAAGAAAATGCAGAGAAAATTTTTTCTAGTTTTCTTGGTTAATGGTAAGACTCAATATCTCTGACAGAGTTAGGCAATCACCAGTTGTTAGTGCAGTTAGAAATTTTTGTCAGGAAGCTTATCGACGATAAAAGTACAAATGAGTCACCAGTACCATCAGGATTTTTAATGTCAAGTATGGCAGGTTTATTCTTGTCAAGATCTGGGAACTGAACCACCGAAGCTCGGCGCAAGTCAAAGCAACCACACCACTCGACCTCCATATAGACCCCATTGAATAAAATTTTTGTTCCATTTCTTTCTTGTTAAGAAATTAGTTATTGAATAATAATTTCAGTTTATTGAACTAATTGAACCATTACAAAGTGTCGCCATTGAAATGAATATCACTATAACTGAAACACAGGTTAGCTAAAAATATTAAAATCACAAAATTATTATTTTAAATTGAAATTTTTTCTTCTAGTGGCTCGAGCTGGTTACAAGGGTAAGGTGCTCGAATTGCTCGGTGGCAGAAGTATCTAAGAGTTACTTTTTCTTCCGTCTCATGTCAACCAGTTTATTTCTCGCATCACTATCATCTTAATTGGTTCTTTTCGTTTTTAATGGCATCTATCACGAGGTTTAGCTAATAGCCAGATATATGTGAATTTCTGAGATAGAAGGCGAAGAACATGATCTAGTCAAACATAGACGACGCTCTATGGCTGTATTGCTAATGCAGCTGGTATTTGAGAGGCGATAATAGATAACTTTCTAATATCTTATGCTATTACTGGCCATGTTTCATGGTCCGTGCAGCCATTTAGCAAGATTATTCGCAGCACAGACAGATGGATCTTTTATTTTAATGATTTCACGACAAAGGTTTCACAGTGTGGGAGAAAGTATTTTTAGCTGCGTTTTTCTTCATCTTTCGCTTGATTAAGTAGTATAAGAGTGCATATCCAAAAATAACTGGTAATGAATTAACAAAAATAAATATTTTGTTATTTTCGATACAGAAGTGACGAGAATTTTCGTCTTTCTAATTTATATTGAACTGAAATCTGACGTTAATTATCGATATGAAAGAGCGGTGCCTTGATATAATAGTTCTTTCAGTGCATCCCGACCATGTTGTTACTGAAGCCCCGTACAGTTTCTATTCTTGTAGCAGACATTTGCGCATAAAGTAGAACTTCTAACGGTATCCTTGCGCTATGTAGAGAAATTGTGGCGTAGACAAACGTTCTGATGTTCCATGTGGTTGTGGCCAAGACCTTGCCATGTTGTGGCTGAATGATAATAATTGTTCGTCTTCTTAAGCATTTTGATAATTTATTTTGACTTGACAGTTTTTCTTTTCTGAAGCCGTATGAGCCCCTTTTGCTGCAGAGTCACTTTGAGATAGAAGTAGTACCTCAGCAATAACTAACCTTTTTTCCATTTTTAATATTTGCTTTTGGCAAAGAACAAAAAGGTTGGAAATAGGAAAAGTTAAGAAAAAAATAAAAGTGTTGAGTTGCAATTAATTTGCTATTCTTATGCCAATTTTTTTTTAAATTTAAAATGTACGACCAAAAACTTAACTTACTACGAAAATTAGCAAAATATGGTGGCTTGAAGAAGCTTCGAGAAATTATGTACAGATCTGTGAATATAGTTGATTACAGAGATTAATAGAGAGCCGATAATCTCATATGGAGACATAAAATCAAAGAAAAATTAGCCAAATAGGTGGTCGTAAAGTGGAAAATGGAAAAAAATTTGTATTTTTATTTGTTAATGGAATTTCAAAAATCATGCACTGATTTCCCCAATATTTCAGAAAAGAAAAATTTTTGAACTTTATGAACAACTTCGACAGAGAATCGGCGTTCTTTTAATTGGACCAAGTGGTTCTGGCAAATCGACCATTTGGAAATTATTATTAAAAATATTATCAAAAATTAAAAAGCCAATAAATGTTCTTAATCTGAATCCGAAATCGATGCCAAGAACAAGGGTAAATTACTATTTTGTTATGCAAATTACTATTTTGTTATCCGTCTTGTTTTTAATTATTATTAGTTTGAATTGTTCAACCGACTATTTTTACACTATATTTTAGTTGCTTGGCCATTTGGACGTTGATACCCGTGAATGGTTCGATGGGGTGATTACTATAGCTGCTCGCCGAGGTTACTATTTGTGATTTTTCTGCCTTTTCCTTTTGTTTTTACTTTTTTTGAATTCCTTTGGATTTAAATCTTTGGAAAAAATCTTTATTTGTTCGCAGTTGTCGGAGATATGAGTGTTCATAACTGGATCGTTTGCGATGGAGATATTGATCCAGAATGGATTGAATCACTGAATTCAGTTTTAGATGATAATAAAGTGGTAATGTTAAATTTATGGAATTTCTAGAATTTTCAGTGAATGTATGAAAATTAAAGCGCAATATCGTTATTTTTATGAATAAAAAACTGTTGCAAAAAAATTGAGAAAAATTTCTTTTTGAAAATGTCGCTCATTTAAGCTAACAATGCCATCTGGAGAACGCATTCAGTTCGGTTCGAATGTCAATTTTATTTTTGAAACAGATAATTTAAGTTATGCATCGCCAGCAACAGTTTCTCGTATGGGCATAATATACCTTAGGTTGATTTTAATTTTTTGATAACAAATCACTTTAAGCTTGAAGCTTAAACTTGTTAACTGAGGAGTTTTATATAAAATTTGCAAAAAATGTAAATTTTTAACGCATTGAACAGATTTTTTCAATGGATTTCAGTGAAAAAGATGTGGATATTAAAGAAGTTATAAAGCACTGGTTGAAAGAGGAAGAACATAATGCTCATCCTGATTTAGTGTATTGGATCGATAACTATCTTTATAGGTTACTTTTTTAGTTATTAATTTTACTGCATCAACGAGTGTTTGATTGAATTAACAATTTTTTTTAAAGAACACTCCCATTATTGGTTAATTGGTTAGACTCGTTCGGCTGGTTTTTCGGACTAGACAATATGTCAAAGAATCCCTTGGTGGAAGTACGGGTGGTTCATCAGCACCACCCAGATTTTTTGGACAGGTTTACTTTTATCGAGAATAGAATTTTAGCGTTGGCTTCAAAACTAAGGCAACAATCCATGGTGACAGTGCCGCTAAACGAAAAGTGGTACTTCCGGGGTTCGAATCCGATTTTCGGTGGCAGTCATTTTGCCATTAAGCCACCAATGCACTAATAGTATTAATTAGAAATTTATATTCATTATTTATTGTTTTATTAAATACAATTAGCACAATTGTCATAGGTAGGTGGTTTTTCTTATTTGCGACTTATTCTTTTGTTCTTTGTGATTCTTTTAAAAAATTTTTTAAAAGATGTGATTTTAAAAGACAATAATTAATAAATATTTTTAGGTGTCTGGATTGGATTTATTTGAAAAATTCGTTTCAAATACAAATAGGACGAATAGCAACAATAAAAAATGCGTTATGCCAATTACGAGGCAATGCAACAAGTCGAGAACAATTTCTTATAAGTCTTTATCGTGGATTATCACCAAATTTAACTCAGGATATAAGAATCAAATTTGGCAAAGAAGTAAGGCAGTCTACGCAGTTCTTAACTGTTTTGTCTTCCATTGAGCATTTTTAATATAAACTAAATATTAAATATTTTAAATTGCTTTTCAAACTTTTCCATGTTTTGATTTGGAACACATTTTTAAATTAATCAATGATGATTAAGGTTGTATTTGATGGTGTAAATTTACCTGATCCAAGCTTCCCATGGAACATTTATATTGATGATAGAACGAATTCTTTATCTTGCTACGATAATAAAATTGATATGAAACTGGGACAGTCAAAATATGAAGATAATTTACCCACGGTTCTAACTGCATTCACGCAAGCAAATCGAGATTCAGTAACATTTATTTTTCTAAAAATTTTGTTTTTTTAACAGGATTTTTTATTTTTACATATTCTATTTTATTTATTTATTTATTGTCTGCTTTCTTGATTTACCCAATGCTTAATATCGCAACAATGCTAAAATATTTATTATATAAAATATTTATTTAAAATATTCTAATTTATTCTAATTTATTTCTTCCTTTGATTACCAAATCTTAGAGATTTGTAGCTATAAAATTTTTTGCCAGCTTTAATACAAAATACTATCAAAAATGAAAAATTTTTCATTGGATTATGAAAGTTTTCAGATATTTTCGCTGTTAAAAAATGGAAATCGTCAGCCGATATTATTAATTGGTCCAGATGGTTGTGGAAAAGAATGTCTATTGAGATACTGCTTTTCACTTGATTCAGATAGCCAGTTCGTTGTTGTACACTGCAGTGCACAAACAAAGTGTATATTTGTAAATATAACAAATATATTTGAGGATAATTTTAATAATCAAATCTAGTTTGTCTAGTTACTTATTAAATAAAATTAAAAAAATCAGATCAAGAAAAATTTGCAAAAAATAGAAATTTGAAATATTCCAGTTCGGAACACCTATTGCAAATCTTGGATCAGCATTGTGTAAAAATAAGCGGAGCAGGTGGTCGAATATTGAAACCTAAAGAAAAAGCAAATTTATTGCTATATTTGAAAGGATTGAACCTAGTTAAACCAGATAAATGGAATACTTGCGAACTGATTGCATTTCTTCATCAAATGTTAACTTATCGTGGCTATTACGATGAATATATTGAATGGATTAGTTTAGAAAACATTCAAGTATTTAATTTTCAATAATTTGATTATTTACAAATTCATCGTTAAATCGTATTTTTTGCTGGCGTCAATAGGTTTTGCTAAAAAACTTGATAAAACATAAATAAATATAAATTTACAAAAAAATTAAAAATAAATTCCGAATAAAACAAAATTTATCCTAAACAATTTTTATCAAATATTTTTTGCCGCAAAATTGCCTCTAGAAATTTTTGTTTAGCTAATTTGTTCGATGAATGTTATTGACGATCCAGGACATTATCTTTTATCGCCGAGATTCACTTCTCTGTTGAGGATTTATACTGTTGATTATCCGCTAGAAGAAGATCTTATTGTAATATGTGTGGCTTACTTGGAATATTTTTTACGCGTATGCCGCAGATCGTTTTTATACTTCTTTATCTTTTTATCTAATCATTTATTGCGTGGATTTGCGATATTTACAGGAAGGAACCTTTTCATCGAGAGAAATCGAAAAAATTGCCAGGTTGATAGTGAAAATCTTTGAGGAATTACAAGCAGCATTTAAAACATACGACAACCCACATTATCTTTTTGCACCTAAAGATTTAACAAAATGGATAATTGGAATTACTCGTTATGACATTGGAGGTTCATGAAATTTATCTTTCATAGAAACTTTTCTTCGCATTTATTTGCAAGCAAAGTCACTGTATGGATTGAAATAGAAAAAAATTACACGAAGAAACCACTCACAAGCAAAGAGATTTAAAAGGGGGATGTTGGAGAGAGAGAGAATGAGGACGTAAGCTTTTGGTTAAGTCATTGCGCAAAAAATTTATTGGTTTATAATTTCCCCGATGCCTTTTTTTCCTATGATTTCTTCGTGGCACCAGTCTTTGCGAATAGCTTACCAACAATTATAATATCAATGGAATGCTAGAATATTTTCAGGAAATGATTATCAGCATCTTAATCAATGTGTGCTATATGAATGTCAACGCCTATTCAGAGATCGCTTAATTAATGATGAACACAAGATAAAGTATGTTTACATGTATTTTATTTTATTACCAAAATTTCATGATCAGAACTTTGCCTTTTTAATCATTTTAATCTTATGTGCTAAAGGTTCGATGAAATTTTGAACAATGCAGTAAGCTCTACGGTTTTTGCTCTGAATTCAGGTACTATTTCGACGGATGAACATTAATTTGAAAAAATCCAATTTTTTAATCCAATTTTTTTTGGAAAAATATCATTTATAACCGTAATAAATTTTCTCAATTATTCCGTACATTTTGTCTCCATTGCTAGTTTGTTCCATATTTTATCACACTATTAGTTATTGAAACTAAATTGGCCACTTCTTATTATACTTTCGAGGCCTAAACATATAATTTGGTTCAAGGAGAGATTAAAAAAATTTTAGGATTAAGATTGATAAGCTCTGTATAACACTATATAAATTATAAACAAATCTTTAAATCTTTTATTAAATCCTTCTAAAATTCAAATTTTAAGTTAATTTATATAATTTAATATATATATATATATATATATATTCTCAAGATTTATAGAATATATTTATGTCCCAAATAAATCGAAACAAATTCTTTCATCGAAAAGCACTCAACTTGAACTTACTGATAGCAAAGAATATTTGCAAATCTTGAAAAAAGCTGTCAGCAGATATGATAAGTTTTTTTCTTCGTTTATTTTATTAATTCGTTAATCTTGTTGAGCTGCAACAAAAATGGAATATTGTTGTGATTGTCTGTACAAATTTTTGGCTTTTTCTTCTGAATATGCCAGATTTATCATTGTCAAAACTAGAAAATTGTTATTATTAAAAAATTAAACAATTTAATTCTAAAAACTTTGAAAAAATTTAGAAAAATTAATTTAAAAAATTTTAAATTAAATTTTAAATTTTAAAATCAAAAAAATTTTTTGTTATTTATAGATAATTTTTCGCTTTAGAATTTATACTTTCTTTCGAATTTCTTTCTTTTGTTTTTTCAATTAAAGTATACGTTATAATCGACTATTTTTTGGCGTAAAAAGGCACAAAAAAGCACCGCAGAAAATATGGGAGGAAATGATAGAATTTTAACGTAAAAAAATTCTGTTTCCTTTTAGAAATTGATGAAGCTGCTTTTAACATTCCATTATTTGATGAATTTGTCATATTTTGCTCCCACATCGATCGAGCATTGACCGCAGCAGGTTACAATATATGTTACTTGATTGTAACTTTTCTCGATTTTAATTAAGCTTTCCGAGAGATTCCAGATTTTTTAGATGATCAAATTGGAATCATTTTAGCTTATATGGAGCAATAAACACTTGCAACATAGAGTTATAATGCATAGAAGCACGAGTGGACCTCCAGCATCATCCTGTTTCATTTTTTTCTGATTGATTTATCCCTGTTTAGGAATGAGAGCTAAGCCCATGGTGTTTGATAGCAGTCGAAATAGCATATCACTCTATCCATTCCAATGAATGCATACAAAAACTAAATATGTGAGTAGTATAACCCTGCGCTGATTATACCCTTCCCTTTCAATTTTTCTTTGGAGACAGGTCCAGTGATATGATGTTTCTATTAAACTCGAGCCAAAATAGGTTAAACTCTTGTAGTTGACGAAAGTAGAGTTACTGGAGGTGTAGTAGTGCTTTATCCCCAAGTAAATTTAAAAACTAGTAAAATTTAGAAATGCAGATAAATTCTTTATTCGTTATTCGTTAACATTTATTTATTTATTAACATTTATTTTTAAGGTGGCTCAATTCTCTTAGCTGGTCGATCAGGAATAGGACGAAAGGCAGCAACATGCTTGATTGCTTATATGCATCAAATGAAAATTTTTACGCCAAAAATTTCAAATTCATACTCTATCAAACAATTCAATAATGATTTAAAATTAGTAAAAAATTTTAAACCCAATTTACATTGATATACAATTTAAAAAACACGGCAAATTTGTTTTACCAAATTAATTAAAATTTAAGCATTAAAATCATTAAAAATTAAAATTAATTCATTGTTTCATTATTTTATATATTCTTTCTATTATTTAAACTTTCCAGTTCTCCTAGGAAATGAAAAAATATTTCAATTTATAATTTATTATAAATATTATTTAATATTTCGATTTATAATTTATAATTGATCCTGTTATAAGAAAGAGCTATTGATTTAAAAGAAAAAAGCAGTTTGAAGGATGGTTCTTTTTGCAAAAAGCAGCAAAGATCATAAAGTGTCGATTTTAGGCAATACAGTCTACAACGATTGATTCTACTCCAACTGTGATCATTCTAGAAGATTATCAGATAATTGAATCGTCTTTTTTGCAATCCATTAATTCAATATTAGCATGTGGTTATATTCCTGGACTGTTTTCTAGTCAAGAATTCGATTCATTTTTACCAGCTTTGCGTGATCTTGCTTCACAGGATGCATATCATGGCGATTTACATACTTATTTTGCTTCCAGTGAGACATTAAATTTATACATTTGATTTGAGGTTGAGAAAAGCATTAATTTAAAAAATTGTAGAAGTGAAAACTAGTTTGCATATTGTTCTTATAATGGATGTCGATGCTCCTGATTTTTCTACAAAAACACTCTCAGCTCCTTCAATATTCAAGCATATGGCGATTATATGGAAGGAAAAATGGAATAATGATGGACTGTTACAGGTGATTTATATTAAAGTTCGAAGAAAACTTCGAAAACCGGTTATTGAGCATTGAAGAAAATATTTGAGAATAATTTTTCATATTTAATAGAATTTCAGATTCCGCGTATGATGCTTACACAATATAAAATGAACTTCAGCGAAGAAATTATACGAAGTTTCGTGGCAGTCCATGAGATTTGCCCGAAAGAATTTTCTTCGCCGTATAAATTTTTAATTTTCATTAAGACATACAAAAAATTGTTCACCCAGAAGAAAGAAGCATTAGAAAATCGATTAAGAAAATTGAAAGTAAGCGAGATTGAATTTATCATCAAAAAAATTAAGAACGACAAAAACTTGGAATGAATTATAAATGAACGAGCGAAAATCATCATTTAAGAGGAATATTATATGAATATTGAATTGTTAAATATTTTCGCTGTTGAGGCATTTGTTGAGTATTATTGAGTATCTAACTAATTTTTTCAAAGGCTGGTACGACTAAATTAAACGAAGCACGAGAGTTAATATCGCAAATGCAACAAAAAGCTGGGAAAAAGAGCGAGCTTCTGGCTGAAAAACAAAGGGAAGCAGATGCGGCATTAAAAGCAATCGCGCAAAGTATGACGGTAATAAATTTTTTTTTTTTTTGACTCCTCTGCTTTGGTTGGCTGCACTGGCGACTAAGTCTTTTCCATTCGATTCCATTCTATGTCTGAAATTGACTGAAGCTACTTCTTTTTCAGCGGCTCAAGCAAGCAGATCCTTAGGTCGCCTCTAACGTATGACCGAAGTATTGCATAGTTTTCCTTTGAAGTGAGCAAAAACCATTCGGCCATTAATAGAATTATAACTACGCATTACGCATAACTAGAGTCGATCCTCCTCTTTCTCGCCCCATTTTTTCTGAGATTGAATTGCCTAAAACGCCACTACGATAAAGCTCTTATAATTGCTAATTTTGATCGGGAATTAAGGAGAGAAATTTAAGACGAGCAAGTGAGATCCATTTGATAATAAAGGCTATCGACCTTCTGTGTTCATAAGAGTTCTGACTTTCCACGCAGGTACGACTAAGATCTCGTTGTAGAGCTGACTGATTCAGTTTCTCAATTGAGCTATAATAATTCTCTTAGTTCGAGAATCTATATCCTTATTACTGCTACCACTGTAAGCCCCATTCGCATATAGCATATATCACTCGGTTAGGGATACTATGCATATCGAAAAATGCGAATTCCCTTTGTCAGTTGTTGACTTTTTCGCCATTAAGTCACGGTAAGCAAAGGTTCAACTGCCTCACGGAAACTATTATAAAAAAACTCAGTTGATGTTGGATTATGTACTTATATCGCTATGGATTCGCTGGAAAAATTTTTACTTCCTTCATAGATATTTGTATAAAATATTTAAAATATTATAAAATATTTATTGCTGGTGTGAAACACTTTTAATCTGTTTTATATAGAAAACAAAAAAGAATTAATGTTGACGGAAAATAAAAAAGTCATTTTAAAATCATTCGAGTGTTTAAAACAAATGATTTTGTTTTTCTAAAGGACTTAAATTTAAAAGTAATCTTTCGCAATAAAATTTGTGATTTTAATTAATAATAGGGTGCAAATGAACAAAAAACAAATATGGAAGAATTGAGAATAGCAAAAGAACAAGAAAATCTACGCATGGAAGAACAACGAAGCTTAATCGACCAACAGTTACAAGAAGTCAGTGACCACTCTCTTAACACTCTCTTGAATTTCAAAAAACATGCGACTTTCCATCCTAGACAATGTTCTATCCTTTCGTTATGTTTCCAAATAAAAAAATTTCCATATTAGAGAAATATTGATTTAGGTTGAACCGTTGTTAACGGAAGCGCGAAATGCAGTTGGTTCCATCAGATCTGAGAGTTTGTCAGAAATTAGAAGCTTAAGAGCACCACCAGAAACTATCAGAGATATATTACAAGCTGTACTATTATTTATGGGCATTTTGGATACATCATGGGAAAATATGAGAAGGTTTACAATTTATTTATTTATTTTTATAAATTATTTAAATTAAATTTTTTTTTTTTGACGTATATTCAGTGTGTCGAAATGTGATTAAGTAGTTTTTGCGATATATTGCTTGGACTAAAATCAAGCATTATGAATTCCATTCTGGAATATTCCTTAAAACAGCAAACCTGCCACTAAAATGATGGTAAAATCAGAGAGAGTAAATATGATAAACTCATTTAGATTCCTGGCGAAGAGTGGAGTAAAAGAAGAAATAATAAATTTTGATGCTCGTCAAATTACTTCGGAAATAAATGCAAAAGTTTCAACATTAGTCAATAGCAAGAAAGCATCATTTAATCAAAAAGTATTTTTTTATTTAAGTTCAGGAAATTATTTTTACAAATGAATAATTAGAATGGAATGAATATTGCGATTAATTGAAAAAATTGTATCATATGAATAGGAATATTTTTTTTTATCAACTATTAATTTATAAGATAATAAAATTACTATAGATGAGATGATCAAGTTGTATATCGGTTCGTCTGAATTCAAGTATTATCAATGTCTGTAGTGTCCTTTGACTACATCAAGCCTGCCTCCGAAAACAAAATCTGCTGGTGCTGGGAGGATCCCACCTGCATTAGTTCACCTCAAATAAAAGGTAGTGGTCAGCAGACCTATCCAAAATAGAAATAGTGACTGAAGAAAAATAACATTCTATTTTTTATAAGTTTATGTGAATAAATATTTTTTTAAATCTAATATTGTGATTATTTATTATCTCAGAATGCAAAGCGAGCTTCAGCAGCTGCTGCACCATTAGCTGCGTGGGTATGTGCAAATCTTCAGTATGCTTCTATTCTTAATCAAATTGCTCCGCTCGAGCGCAATAAAAGCGAAATAATGAGGCAAATTTTTTTGGATTTACAGCTATTAACTCAGAAAAAAAAGTTTTATCAAATAAATTTTCAATCAAAGAAATAAAAACAATTTAAAATTGAAATTTTGCAAATAAAAAATTTATTCTAAATTCGGTTAATTCAGTTAAATATCAATCAAAACTGGCAAATATCACATTCATTAACTGCATTTACAAATAAAATATTAATAATTATGACAGTGAGAGATTTCAGTAAAATAGTCTTTAAAAATGAAGAAATAGCTCAAATTATTGAACCTTTAAGGAGCCTTGGAAAAGTTGAAAAGCAAATGGAAAAATTGTCCAAAGGTATGAAGCAAGTTGACATAAAAGTAGCTGAATTAAAAAATAATTTTGAAGTTTTAATGAAAGATGCGACACGAATAAAAATCGACTTGGATAGAGAAAAAGTCTGAATTTTTTCCAAATTTTTCGTTTTTGCTACTTTAAATGATCGCTATTTTTTATTTTCAGGCGTAAGGTTTTTGCTTAAGTTTCCCCGTTTCTCTTTCATTCTTACTGCTCTTTTGTAGCAATCAACTTCTATTATATTCTCTATTTTCATAAAATATCGTTATAAAAAGTTTTCATATCCCATATTTATTTAATGGAACCACGATGAAATGTTCAGGACATTATAAAATTGGCTGGAACACTTGTTGATCGATTGAAAGATGAGTTTCTTCGATGGAATGAAGAAATGGTTGAACTTCAAAAACAACATAATCAGGTTGTTCCAAAAAATCCCAAATTTGTAGGGATATGCAATATTTTTGCAATAAATTTCGTGTCTTAGAAAGTGGGTTTACAGAATTAATTGACTTAAAAATGTTTGTTACTATGTTATAATAACAATTGGAATAAATAAAAAGATTTGAATGCGAAAACAATAAATGAATGACTTAAAAATTTTCTAATAATCTTATCCCGTTTAATAATTATAAATTATATTGAAAATTCAATATAATTTATACAAAAAAGTTTTCAGCTAGAAAAATTTTGCCTAATAAGCGCTGCAATCATTGCATTCCTTGGGTCAGCGCCTGAAAGCGTGAGATTCAATGCAATTTCACAATGGCGGGATTTGCTTAATGCTGATAACTTTGATTTTTTACGATTTTGTACGACCGAAGCTGGACGGGTTGGTTTTATCAAATTATAACGACGATCATAAAAAAAATTTGGATTATAATTAAAACTAATGTGAATAGTGTAAAAAAAGTATTGCGGCAATGGTAATAATTAAAAGCGATTGTAGTAAGAGCAATATGGTAAAAATTTGAGGCGAAAGTAATAAAAAAGAATGGTTTTTAGTTACAATGGAAAAACAATGGACTTCCATCGGACAATCTTTCTCTAGAAAATGCTATAATTATTGAAAATACCTTGGAAACACCGCTTATAATTGATCCTAGTGGACGAATCAGTGATTTTCTTCAAAATAATTTTCAACAGTTAAAAATTGAACGCTTAAATGCTTCACAGCCCGATTTAATAATTCAGGTTAATCTTCTAATTCAATTCTACTTCAAAACATTTGTATGAAATCATACGTTTCTATGTAATTTACGAAATCTTTGGCAGAAAATATAGCTTATGATAACGAGTTCATAAATTTCTTTTCATTTTCAGTTGGAATTAGGCGCACGTTTTGGTAAAACATTGCTCATCGATGATATAAATGATATTGAACCTTCAATTATGACAATTATAAAAAAAGATGTTTTTATTCAAGGTTGTAAATTTTTTCGTAAACTTTCACAAAGAGTTAAATAAACAAAATATTGCCGCTTTCCACGTATTTCTAGGCAAAATTTGAAATCCTACATATCTTATCTTAGGATTAAAAATATCCGTGATTATATATTTAGCATCGCGTCAAGTTATTCAAATTGATGCCAAAATGATCGATTATAATGAAAATTTTCGATTATTTCTTTGTTCAAAGAATGATCAAATAAGTATCGATCACAGTATGAAATCTGTTCTAATGAAAATCAACTTCACAACTACAAAATCGGGGCTCATATCGCAGGTTCTTATCGCATTTTTTTCAGGCAAATAGTTTAAGAAGTGCCAAGTCTTATTTTTATTTTCTTCTTTTCTCTCAGAATTTGTTATTTTTAAATGAATTTCAACATTTTTTTGGTTAATTCAATAAGAATATTAAGAATTTTTTCTTCATGAATTACAGCTTCATTCGATCAAAATTTCAGTTGTTAGAATTGGCGATAAAAATTGATAAACCACAGTTAGAAGCACGTTCGAATGAATTAACTAAAAAATCGGAAAATATGAAAATACAACTGGAACAATTACAACAAATTCTTCTCCAGGTTCGTTCCCTTTTTTCCCACTTTCAGTTAGATAAATTATTAATTATTCAAATATACCTGTTGTTGCGACATTTTATTCCATTCATCTTTAAAACTGACCAAATATAAAACTAAAATTTTATAGAATTTAGCATTATCTGAAGGGAATTTATTGGAGAATAACGAATTATTAGAGTCATTAAATAAATCTAAAGAAAGTTCTCAAATAATTGCTGCTTCTCTTGCTGAATCGATTAGACTGCAATCAGAACTTTCAACGGTTAACTTTTCCGATGTTTCTCCATCTTTATTTCCGACTATAAATTCCTAAAAATTGAATGGTGAAAAAGAAAGTTATACCAGATTGCCAGATTCTTTTGGCGAATTTCAATTGGCGAATTGAGGCTATTTCAGCAACGTGATGTATATCTTACATTGGCTGAATATGCAAGTTCAGTATACTTTGTTATAAAGGATCTTTATTTGCACAATCATATGTACAGCTTCAATGTTCAAACTATCATCAATTTATTTCAGAAAACATTCTCTTTGAATCGAGTAAACTTTTTTTCAAAGCTTTATTACCATTTATCATCTATTAAAAAAATTTTCCAATTTAACTGCGCAGAAAAACTAATTCTTCTTTATAAGATTATTATTACAGCTAAATTTTCATCTTAGAGATAGAACAGCCGAATGGTTTGTTGTTTAGATTATGATCTCCGATTATGAAAGGTTAAGAATTCAATCTCCGGTAGAAAAAACCTATCTAAGAAAATCTAAAAATGTTGAAAAATGTCTGTAGTTCTATCGCCAAGTGAAGAGCAAAAATTTTTCACCTTTCATTAATAATCAGTGGAAAAAGTCTAATCAGAAATGACGAGCGCTAACCTTCATTTACATGTTTAGAGCAACAAAATAAGGAAGAATGTGCGAGCAAAAAGTTTCACTTTTTTAGGAATTATAATTATAAAGATATAATTATTTTTTAATTAAACGATTTTTGTGATTTCGCTTATTAGTTGCAAATTTTTTGAATAGATGCCAATAACAGAATAATTTCTAGGAAAATGTTGATGAAACTGATCGGCCGGAAAAATTAAAAAGAACGTTACAAAAATATATATTCGAAAATATTGCGAGGTCATTATATGAAAAGGACCGTTTAATATTTGCAATGAAATTTATACGAGGAACGCAACCGAATTTATTTATGAAAAATGTAACTTTCCTAACATTTTTATTTTCTTTTTTTTCTAACAGCACTCACCATTTCTGTTCAGTTCCATTGGCTATTAAGATGAAATTATAGAAGAACCTATTATTAAAAAAATCCTGGCGGTGCATCTGTACTTTTATCGCCAAGTAAATATTTTTCATCTTTTACTAATAATCAGCCGAGAATGCCCAATCAGAAAGCAAAATTTGGTAGCAGAAACACGAATGCTTCCTCAGCGTCACCCTAATCCAGTTAAAATGAGTTTACCCATGGTAGAGGATATGGGTAAATCGAATTGCACGCATAATTAAACAAAAATAAAACGAGCCAATATAGCGACTAGGCCACTCGATTTCGCCTTATTTTCCGTGCATTTTCGGCATATAAATGAGTGTTTTGGCGTTAAACATAATCGAGTGGATTCGAAACTTTTTATATTCTATTTTATTCTATTCTATTTTAAATTGAAATTTAAAAAGAATTTACTAATAGTTAGGGAAATGAAAAATTTTGCACATAAGAAGTTTCAAAGAAAACTGGAGAAATAAGAATTATATTTCAGGTATATTATTATTTTCCAAAACTTTATTCATATCTAATTTCTTCTTTTTCAAATAACCATCTTCACCTCACCATCTTCATTAATTTAAAAATTTAAGCAAAAAATTTTTTATAAATTTTTGCTCATATTCCTTCTTATAGGAATGGGAATTTTTTTCGGGAGTTCTCCCAAATGAAGATCATGATGATGCAATATTAAAGAATATTACATGGATTGATAAAGAAAGATTGCCTGCAGTTTCTAATCTATACGTATGTTATATTGAACTTAGTATTCTCATATTTCACTACAAAAATGCTATCTTGCCGAAAATTATTCATTCATTTTATTCTTAAAAAAATAGTAATAGTAAAATATGCAATATTTGTAGTAAAATATGAAATTTGTAATGAATATTTATCTTTGTCTTCTTTTAGCCATTCATGAGACGCGCTAAATTTTTATTCCTAATTCTAAGTTAGCAAGTTATATGTTTTATATTTCTGGGTGGTAAGGACCATCTTCAATCTCGGATCCTCCTCTATCAGAAGCTTGGGAAATTGAGGGTTCTGCATAGTATCTTAGCTCTTTTTAGCAGTGTACTGTTCTGGATAGAGTATCACTTGCTATTATTATATCACTAGTGCTGATTCCTGATTCTTGTCCATTTTCATGATATCTGGTCGATTGGCCAGTTTTTCTTTTTAATGGAAACGTCATATAAGATTTTAGCCTTATTATTCCCTACGCTTTTCTGAGGAATCTTCTATTTAGACTTGGGAAGGTCATATGCCGAGCAAATATTCCTGAGATTATGCCATGCCTTTCAATGTATATTTCTCCTGCTTGCAGTTTGTATCTTACCACTATATGTTGGATTGTCTCTGGGTCATTTTTTTACAATCTCCACCTGAAATCTTTTCTAGTGTGGTAGATTTCTATTTCAATGAATTTGGTACTTAGTGCCAGTTTATGGAAAAGGAGGTTGGTAAAAAATAAGATCATAGCATCACGTAGTTAGCCAGCTGACAGAATTACAGAAAGGTATAAAAAAAAAATAGGATGCCGGGAAAACAGAAGAGTTCACTCCATGAGAAGCCTTCGAGGTTACTAAAGGCATTGGCCACTAGATTAAGGAAGCACACTAGAGAAGCAGAGGCTAAAAAGATATCCTGTTCTCCAAGGTATTCAAGATGTATTCTCAAGTACAATAATATTGTAACAACAAAGCCACCAACAGCAGAAACCATGCAATACTGGAAGAATATATGGGAAAAAAAATTCATTACACCAATATTTGCAAAATGTTTGCAAGATCTGAAAATAAGACTCAGTAACTCAAAAATATGAAAAGCTGATCGGCACCTGGTCCAAATATGATCCACACTTAATGGCTAAAGAAGCTAACAGCGGTTCGTGGCATAGATGAACCAGCTGCTTGTGGTAGGCTCTCCAGACTGGTCAACAAGGAAGATTAAATTTAATGCTATTTTAAATGTTTTCCAGAGTTATTTCCCAACATTATTTAATAATATTCGCTTGACTGAAAGAGGGTTATGGAGTGAATTTGCAAAATCTTTCAACTGTGAAGGATCATTTCCAAAAGAAATCGAATCGCTAATTACACCATTCCAAAAAGTTATTATTATTCAAGCTATTAAGCCAGGAAGACTCCATTCTGCTATGCTGCAATTCGTTTATCGTGCACTAGGTTATTTTTCAACTTTGTAAAAACCAAGTCGATGTAGTTTATTTGCTTCATTCATATTTTTTTGTATGTCCTATTTTATGTTTATTTATGCTTGTGCGATTATTTACATCAGATTTTATCTTCAGATTTTCCTTTTTCCTTTAATTTAATAATAATAATTTATATTAGGTATTCACTCTTTGAATTTGTCCCCATTTGACTTCAAATCATTTTATAAAAGTGAAACCAGCGCCAATGAGCCAATTCTAATATTGAATGGAATTGGAGCAGATCCTTCACAAGTAACTTCTATGCACTTATTAATTTCATCCCCATTCAAATGATTCATTTATGAAGGACCTTATAAGAAAAACTTCAGACGTATTGTCATTCACTTCGAAGAATATAATAAAAAAATAATATAATAATAAATAAGAATATAATAAAAAAAGAAAGAAAGATTTGATAAAGCAAAAAAAATTTTATGATACTTCACCTTCGGATTTGCTAGGATCTCGAAGAATTTGCTAAAGGGACAATTGGTTTTGAAAAATTTTGCCAAATTTCAATGGGACAAGGTCAATTGCAATCAGCTATTGAAATGATGCGCTTGGCAGCCGAAAATGGTTCATGGGTTTGTTTAAAAAATCTTCATCTCGTCATTGGATCACTATCCTTCGTTTATAAGGTCCTTTCTTCGAGCTCTTTAATTACTGGCATATTCGTAAAATATTCATTAAATTTTATCTTAGATTATTTTATTTAATTTTATTTGTTACTTTATATGATTTTTTCAGCATTTGTTGCTTTTAACAGGTGACTGTTATTTTTATTTAATAGCCAAATTTTCACTGAAACTTTTTTATCTTAAATCCTAATAAACTTTTGGAACTTTAGAATAGAAATTTATACTTTCTTGCAATATATCTATTTAAGGAATTTATGCGATTGAAACGACACGAAAATTTTCGTTTATGGTTAACATGCGAAGAGGATAATCGATTCCCAGCGATATTGTTGCAAAATTCGATAAAAATAACGTATGAAACCCCTCCTGGTATAAAAAACAATCTTCAACGAATTTATGCAATGTGGAACGACGTACCTATTCAAAGCAATTCAGTACAACTGCAGTACCTCTTCCTTTTAGCATGGTTACATGTTGTTGTGCAAGAACGACGCAATTATATTCCACAAGTTGCTTAATAGATCTTGATTTTTGTTATTAAAAATCTATTTTTTAAAGAATGCGCAAATAAACCCTATGCGTAAAATTGCGCAAAATTCGACAAATCATATTGCTATTTATTGATACATATTTTAACTGTTAAATCCTAAAGATTTTTAAGACAGGGGCGACATAATCTCCGAAAATTCTCAGCAGCAACAGTATCAACTTTCTTATAAATTTAGACAAGAATTCCGTTAATTCCGATTCACATCGTTAAATTTTTTGCAGGGATGGTCAAAATTTTATGAATTCAACGACAGCGATCTACGAGCAGCTAAATCAGTCTTTCAAAGTATTTTATCGACTGCACATGGTAATAAAAAAATTTTTTTGCTTCAGACAAAAGCTCTGGACAATTCTTTGCTTTTTAAAATTCCTCTACGATTTATTTTATTATCCATTACTGGTTAGGCTTGATCTAATTGGCTATATGGATGGATTATTTCCAGGCCTTTCGATTTGATACCATATCTGAAAATAAAAGAAACCACTGTTTTTGTTTTTTCGTCTAAATATATATATATATATATAATATATATATAATATATAAATATATGCGTCATCCGGGTTGTGCGCATTTAAAATATCTCTTATAAAATTGTATCGAATGAAGTTTTCATTGCGCCCTCACATTTTTGATATTATCCGTTGCAATATTTGGAATACAGCTAGATATGCCAATTTATATAAGGGCTTCGAATAAAGCTGCTTATCCATGTTCTGTAGACATTTTCTGTAGACATTGAGACTGATAGTGATGCCTTAGGCAGGAGCGATCGAAATTGGGTAATTTTTTGATATTTTCCACTTTTCGCAGCCACTTAACATTAATATGTTCATATTGCTTTTTTTTCCTTTTCATGTCAGCACTCATTGTTCTCGGCTGGCTGCACGGACTAATGGAGCGGGATCCTTTCTCCAGTGTATCTCTAGCTTGAAGGTGGACAGAACTCAAATGAGTCCTTAGTACCATCCAAATCTCATTTATTCTCTCAAAAGATGCAATTCGAACCGATGTTATCCGAGACAGTCGATACCACTCCATCTAATAATACCATGCACCACTCGTAACACTATACTGAACTAACTTGCTTACCTTTTGACTACCGGCAAGCCAGTCATCAATCCAATCTAATGCATATTGTAGATGGAAGAACGCTAAATTGGCAAACTTTTTTATTTACTATTTATGTTATGTCGACTGTAACGTGTTGGACGAGTCGAGTCATTGAGAAAGCCTTTATTGCGATGCACGACTCTCAACAACGTCACTCCGAGCTACAGTAATAGATATGGAGACACACACTGATCAATACACGTATCATTAGATTTACAGTAGCACAGACTCTAATATTACTCTAATATTGAGCCATTTCTAATAGAGAAAAAATCATCCATCCTTGTGCTTTACAATATCTGACTCCACAATGATTGTTTTTTATTTCACACTGTTGTTCCCTCTCTCTACAACTTGCGCTGATAAGAGGAAGCAAATTGCACTGGATTGTTGATTGTCGATAAATAGTGTTTCAGCATTCTTTCTCTTTCTCGTGCCATTAGTTTCGAACTTTTTGAGCGATCATTGAGCGGAATATGGCCATTTATGGCCAATCTGCTCTGGAGATTCAGAGGAAGATAGGGTAGCCCCTAACAAGCTGGCTTCCACAGCCAGGTTAACTCTTGTTAAAAATGTGAGAATATAATTTCATACTTACGGAAGAAAAGAAATTGCGTAATCAGAAATTAAAATTAACTTCATGGCCACAATTAAATTAAATTTGGCAAGCGGTAGTTCCAAGAAAATATTATCGATATATTTTGTTTTATTTGTGAATTATTTTTTTAACTTCTGATAACAATTCAGCCAAGTCCTTTTAAACCTTTAAATTTCTTTTCAAGCAGAAATTAAAATAAATTATGCAATAAATTAAATTATGAAAAAATACATATATTTTACACATATGTCTATATATATATTAAACAAATTTGATTTTCTAATTTGTTTTTCATCTTTCCTTAATTTTTTTTTGACAGGAGTAAACTTGATATTAGAAATACAGGTGCTTGGTGGGGACTCATTTGCAGCTATATTCCTAAATGAATCTATGGTGAAAGGATCAGATCTTGATACTACCATTGTATTCTCAGCCCTCTGGTGCATGCGATAAATTTGCAGTATGGGCGTAGTCAAACGTAAGGACTTAAGAATATGATCTTTTCGTGAGCCATGATAACTGCTTGAAACCTGTCAAGGGAAACGGCTCTCTGCACGCGCGGCGAGATATTAGTCGTAGCAATATAGAATATCAGAAAGCATGTGGATATTGTGAGCCAAGCAATCACTGTCTACACCCTTTCTAAATACTGCGTGGATGTGGTTTGTTTATTGGAGGTCCGGATAGTTCATTTTTCCCCATTCTTCCTCATATCGGCACTCGAGTAATTATCAAACCTGGTTCCAAGCAAAGATATTGGCTATATCACTCGGTGTCTCGGATAGCTTGGGCGAAATGGTGTAGCAATGTTTGAAAAAGCTCGGTCGGCTTTGATTGAGTGGTAAACAATCGCATGGCCTATGCTCGCTTCAAAGGAAAGTTCTGCAATATTTTTTATGTTTTATCAATCTATGTTCTAAATACCTTTGTGTATGAAAATGATCGTACTATGGAGGAAAGAATTAATACCAGGTGATTAAAGCAGAGCAATTCTTTTCTTAATCCCAAAGATAACTATTAAAGAATTAGCTCATTAGCTCACTAAACGTCTTCTTCAGTAAAATTGTCGCTTCCATTTTACTGAAGAAACTTATGACGCCATAATCAAGCAAACCGGGGCGCTGATATGGTGACCGAATTTTCACGCTAAGAAGATTGGAATATGTCCTCAAATATCGGTAATACCCCGTCATTTTACGGATTTTGCAATTGATTCCAATTCAATAGAATAAATAAATATCTGTCAACTCCTATGATAAGCGACGAAGAGGGTGCCCTAAACAGCAAAAACGACGTTCTATGATGGTACCATTAATGCAAATGGCATTTGAGCGAAGATGGATGCAATCATGTGAAGTTTTTACGCCATCGTTGACAATAATAAAAATTGTTCTTTTTTCCATCGCCAAAGTCCATAAATCGCTGATTAACTTATACGTTCAAAATCTTTCTTGAATATCCAGGTCTTAAGTGATTCCTCTCGCTTTTGTCATCCGTCACAGGGTTTAGCAAATAACTAGATGTATGTCATCTTTTGTGATATACGACGAAGAATGCGCCCTAACCAGCGAAGGTGACGCTCTGTGATGATTCTGTTAATGGAAATTTGACCATTCATGTTCAAGATAGATCTTATGGGTCCACTAAGCGGATAAAATTGCATATGTTTGCATCCATTCTCGAAATATTAGTTGCTTTAGTAGTACCATCACAGAACGCCGTCTTTTCTGCTTGGAGCATGTTTTTCGTCGCCCACCACAGGAATTGACACGTATTTCGTTATTTGCTAAACCTTGTAAACTGATAGCGTTTAAAGCAAGGTGGTCCATTCAAAACCTGGACTGACTCAAGAAGGATTTTGAATGAGCCAGTGATATATGGACATAGACAATGGAAAAAAGAATGGCTTCTGTTACTTTCAGCGATGGCGTCAGGCCGAATAACTTGGAGACCCTTATCCTTGTAAAGCCAGCCTAACCAGTAATGGTGAGAGCTGTTAGAAGAATCAAAAAAGCCTTTTTTATTTTCAGTTGGCTTTATAGAAATTAAGGAAAAAAAGCAAAGTTTTAAGAAATAAATGGCAATATTAAGAAGATAAGCTTTTTTTAAGAAATAAATGGCGATATTAAGATGATAAGATTTTTTTTAGTTGATGAATGGGTCCATTATATTCGTGGCCTACTAAGTTTGGTAATATATGGTGGACGTATCGATAATATTTATGATAGCAATGTTCTTAATGCTTATTTAAATAGTTTCTTCAATGAATCAGTGATCCAATCATCCAATTTTGAATTATGCAATATTTTATCGTTTAAGAAATCTTCACTTAATCACTTAAAGGTAAGTGTCATTTTTGTATTTTTCTCGAAATATTTTGGTTTCATTTAAAGTCGTAGATACTTTTAGAAAAATTAATAAATGAAACTTTAATTCATTTAATAAATATCAATTTTTTGCATTTTTATATTTATATTTTATGTTGCTTATTTTATGAATAAAGGAGACATATCAGTTGTCCAAATATGGGTCCGCATGAAATTTCTATCACACTTTTCATTTGAAATCCATTCTCCATTCTCATCATTTTTCAGCATAAAACATGTGGACTAATATACAAGCAGCCATCATATATGCCAAAAAATAATTTGAACATTGATGTTTTTTTTTTTTTAAAAGTACTCACATTCTTTGGTTAGGCTTGCTTCGCTGGTTTGTCGAACCAAACAAATTTCGCTAGAAAATTATTTGGCGATGGAAATACATGGCGGTTGCCAGCACTACTGGATTTTTATAGACAGATTCATTACGAACATAAATGCCAGCATGAATGCTTGGAAATAAAAATCAGTAATCCACTGATCCATTCTTCCCATTTTATTGGTATTACAATGATTGAGGAGTCAGCAGTATACTCATCATTATAACTAAATGGCATAATAGCATAAATAACAATCGTTCTTTTTATTAATAACTTGCAGGATTATATATCAATGATTGAAAAAAATATTCCGCAAGAAGATAACCCAGTTCTGTTTGGATTGCCAGCCAACATAGTTTCTTCATGGCAAATGATCCAAAGCGGAACGATGATAAGCCAATTAAAGCAAATGCAACTTGGAAGTGATAGGCAACCTAAATTTGATAGGTGATTAACATTGTATTAATATAAAAAATATATAAATCTGCTTGAATGATTTTTAAATGGTTTTAAAACGATTTAAGAGTTATCTCATTCGAAATTTTTGAGCATTAAATTAAATTAGAGAACTATGAAGAAGCATTGTTCTAATAATAATTTTGATTACTGAAAAGCTTATTTACTTCACTGGAATTAATGAAACAATCTTCATACTAATTTATTAACAGATTAGTATTATGTACTACTTTGTCGCCAATATTATCCATTTGGAAACGACTTAATTCTCAAACGACATTTCATTCTATGCAGATCCCTGAAGTTAAGGATTCTGATGATCCAATTTTAGAAATTCTTTCTGTTGAATATATCTTTGCAATTAACTTAGTGAGTGATCTTTTATTTTTATTTTTTTTCTATTTCTTTTTCAGTAATATTTCCATATATTATTTTGGAATGTAATTTATCCATTAGACATCCATTCTTGACTAGGTAATAATGAGTCAATTGGCTATAAAAAGGTTGCCAGCAATGCCGAAAATTTCTAATCGTATTTCAGCCAGCTCAGAAATTCTAATCAGGTATGGGAGCATTAATCACTAAACTGATAATAAATATATGGATGTTTGCAATATCTCTTGGCATTAGTGCAGTAGTTCAGTTTGCTCAGCCAGAAAATGCGAATATTATTGATGAATAGAAAAAGAAATAGGATAAAGCTTAAATATTAGGGACGAAAAAAATCCGCTTTGCCATGGTGTTATTATCTCAACGATTCGCTAATAGAATTGATCTGACAAATCAGGGGAGCGAGCCTGGCCACAGATATTGAGGGTTGAGGGTTGAATGTTGTTTGTTTAAATTCTGCTTTAATGAACATTTTATTTACAAATAGCTTGTTAAAAGTTAAAAAATTGAAAAAATTTATGAAAGATTACTTAAAATTTTTAAAATTTATAAAATTTACTATCTACTAGGTGCAAATTATCCACAGTTCATTATCCAATTTGAATAAATGTATCAAAGGTACCCAACTTCCGACTAAATCTGCTATCGAAATGTCGCATTCATTGCTAATGCACCAGGTCATTAATTTTTGTCGAATAGATGAATTGCAATCATTTGTCGTAATTCCACTGAGGTTGTTTCCAGCAAAATCTTTATTGCAAGCCTTTAGCCTTTTACAATATTTAAAACACGAATTTTCAGACCCCCGAGCATTGGCAAAATCATTGGGATGGACCTAATGATCCAGTACAATATTTATCAACTGTGATGAGTAAGGTAAAAGCAACCAAAGAATTAGTTTCTACTGCAGCAAATGGTCATATTTTTTCAAATCCTATTAAGTTAACAAAACTTTTTCGACCAGAAAAACTTATCAATGCCCTTCGGCAATACATAGCAAGGTCAAACCCAACAAATTTTTTTATCCAAATGAAAACCAGTTTCATGTTTAAAGAGCAGAACAGCCAAATGATTGTAACTTGAGCAATCATATTAAGCTCATCTTGATTCTATTCTTTCCAATAGTAGATGGATGATAGGAATAAACTTGCCATTAAACCTTTCTAGTGGTGACTCACTTTTATCTCTAAACGAATGCATAAGAATTCATGGTGAGATAGATTTTGCTTTCTTTATCTTTGGTAGATCTTTAAGTGATTATTTTTTTTTATTTTTTATTTTTATTTTTTAAAAATAATCACTTAATTAAAGAAATTCTGAAATTTTGTTATCCTATTATTCTACTTCTAACAGTTCTCATCATTGCTGATTAGGCTTTCTCCGCTGGCTAAGGGTAAGATGTTTCCAAACTGCGCGATCTGATGCCATTACTGAATGATACAAACCATTCGTTTTTTCACCTTTAAGTCCATATGCCGCTGATCCAGCAATACGTTCACAGTATTTCCTGACCTTACCAGTCCAGGTCTTAATCGCTTTTGACGTCACCCATCATAGAGTCTAGCAAGCAACGAAATGTGTCAAATTCTATGAAATCCTGTGACGACGAAGAGTGTGCCCTAACTAGCGACGCTCTGTTAATGCAAATGGTATTCGAAGGTAGTTGCAATCAGATTCTATTCAGTATTACTCTACTAAAAGCAGTTAAATCCGAACCTTTAACTAGAAATGTTAATGCAAGTGTCTTACTTATCTCCAGATGCTACATTTTTGAATCTTTCAATTTTCTGTTGCTTTCGCCCATTTTTTGCAGTTTTTCTCTTAACTTTTCTTCAACAGTTGAATGAAAATTCATGAAGCATTAAAAGACTTCTAATTTCATTATTTTATTTTTAGAAAGATGAAGGTAGGTATGGATTTCTTAAAATTGGCAGCAGTTTGGAAAACAATGAAGAAAGAAAATATGAACAGTGTCTTTCTTGAAATAACTGGTATTTATATACAAGGAGCACATTTCGACAATCGTTTATGCGAAGTCTCATCGTCATCTCCACCATTTTCAATTATTCCAAATCTTCTTATCACATGGATCCCCAGTGTAAAATGCGTCTTCTTTTTATACAATTTAAATGAAATGAAATAATTAAGCACATTAATGGAAAATATAAAGTTCTATATATATATATATATATATATATATATATATAGATATATATAGAACTTATATATATATATATTATATATAATGTATATATATATAGATTATATATATATATAATGAATATAGATTGTACTGGGAAGATTTTCATAACAAAACTACGACGGTCATCGGTTGTGCTGCATCAGTCAAAAAACTTATATCGTTAAAACTTATATAACAAAAAACTTAACATTTTAGAAATATCGTAGTAGTAATATTTTAGATCATTAACATCCATTATACTACGTTTAAATCCACAGTATGTTATGGAACCATGATTGTAGGAAACATCAAGTTACTACGAGAACTCTAATTCAGTGTTCATACCAATGTATACGACATCAAATCGAGATGATCTCATAGCGGAAATCCAGATTCCTTGTGAAGGAGATCCAAAAAAATGGCAAATCGCATCAGTGGCCCTATTTCTTGCCGTTTGTTAAATTCTTAATTCTATTTACTTTCGTTAAATTTAAAAATTCGAATAATCGTTCATTTCTAAAAATTATTTCGTTTCATTATTCGTTTATGCTTTGTTAATATTTCACATTAATCGATGAAATGAACAATTAATAAAAATAATTGTTTCATTTCCTTATCAAAAATCTTGTCAAACCAATGATCAAGAAAAATTGTTTCTTCCTTTCATTTCGAAATTTAAATGAATAAATATTAATAAATATTAAAGAAACCAAATATTTTTCTTCAAATAATCATTTAACACACAGCCTTGTTTTTTCATCACAAAATTGCGATGATATCCAATAAATTTTAAAATTAAAATGGCAAAATCAAAATATACAACCATTTTCCATAAATACGTTTTAAACAATTACCGTATTTAAATGATCCAATAAGAATTATTATCGTCATTTGGCAATTTTTTACAATTTAAAATTATCTTTGTATGAAAGAAAACGAATTTTTAAAGAGAAAAAAATTGATCAGTAAAATTATTTTCCAAGTCAAAAATAATTGAAAAAATTGGGCTTAAATTCATCCATTGTAAGTATTATGTATAAATATATATGTAAATAATATTATTGATTTGGATAGATAATTCACCAAAATATGATCATAAATTTTAAGAAAAATTAGTAATAAAACATTATATATTACGAATGAAAGAGCTTATGACAAGAGGCTCATGGTTTTTCCACAATCGTTTTCTATACAACTTTAACTTATATGCATTGCTGTATCATTGCTAGAGGTCTGTTATTTCGAGTTGCACTGTTTTATCTGAAAAAGTATTTGCCAATATTTTATCAGTAATATTTCGTTCTTTGTAACCGGTTGAATCTATTCATACTGTTTGCTTTAAACTTAACTAAGTCTGATGTTAAAAATAGATAGCCAAACCAAACAATCCTGGAATTCAAAAAATTATATTGGCAAGATAATTTTTTTAAATTAATAAAAATTATTTATTACTTAATAAATAGGTGAAATACGAAGAGAATATTCAGCTAATCATTGGCATGGAACTTTTCTATACGTTTTTTTCGCAGAAGCTCATATGCTTCGGCACCGAGAGCTTTACGAAAATGATCTTCAACTAAAAAAAATAAAAATAAATTTAAAGAAATTTTAAAATCAATATAAATATAAACATTATTCTGTACTATTTATCAGAGGAGGATAGGTGAGTGGATAATGGTTGAGAACGTGTTAAGATAAGATCATTCAGTTCCTGCTTTCCAAAAATTTGTTATTAAAAAATCTGGAAGATGATTCTATCAGCAAATGATTTTCTATTTCCCATCGTAAGAATAGCCAGAGGGGCTAATGATCAAGAATGGTGAACGCCAACCATTCATTTATATTTATTCACTTTTACACACTCTTGTCCGACTATAAATATTAATTTTCTTTCATTTCTATATGAATTTTCAATTAAAAAAAGTTAAACAACGAATTTTAAATAAAACTATTCGAAAATCCCTTATGCTTTAAAATATTTACATATTACATAAGTACAATAAGCCAAAGATAAAACTAGATAATAAAGAAGTAATTAGAAATTATTTCCATTATCTAAAGATTTAAGCTAAAAAAAAAATTGAATTAATTTATCAAATGGTTAATTTTTAGTAAAAGGATTATTGAACGAAGCCAATTTGCACGTTAATTTCTAAATTTGTAAATAATTTTTGGCAGAAATTAGCTAACTTTTTATTTCTTTTTTTATTTCTTTTCATTTCGAAACTAAATTTTAGGAAAAAAATAACCAACTTTCGACGCCAGAATTATTGACTATAATTTTTGCAGGAGAATTCATAATAGAAGAACTCATAATGAATGAATTTTTCGGTTTTCTTTGAAGAACAGTTGGACCTTAAAAAGCAAACCATTTCATTCTAATGAATGGTACCAATCACATGAACTACATTTGAAGGGAAATGGATAAACGGAATGTGGGATATCTCACATGAACTACATTTGAAGGGAAATGGATAAACAGAATGTGGGATATCTCACATGAACTACATTTGAAGGGAAATGGATAAACAGAATGTGGGATACCCAAATTGAAACTTCCATATGAGATATGGAAATAAAAAAAAAGGACAAAGGGAATTATGACGAAAAAAGCCGAGAAGTTAGCAAATATATGTCAGCATATTTATGAAATTCTTCAAATATTTCGCATAATTCCCCTAAAATTACCCCAGTTTGTAATCATCATCAAGATTTCTTCTTCACAATCCCTTTATAACTCGTAAACCTTATAATTAACCAGCAAAAGCTCAAAGAAATTTGGCCTCACAGTGGAAGGAAAATTTTCTCAATTTTCATTTACTCAAAGATAAGCATATGTCACAGAATAATAATTAGCAAGGATCTCTGTTTTTATAAAGTATTCAGTAAAATCTTTAAATTAAATAAGAAATTAAACAAACCATTTAGTGACCTTTCATTGTCACAAAACTGTGTTGGTTTATAATAATTGTTACTGCAGTGCTTTCTTGGCCATTTACCACTAAGTGATCGTCGAAAATGTTCCGAAACATCTGGTTCAGACAGTTGTCGTGAAGTGACCGATGATGATGATCGGCGCATATCGCACTTCTTTTGTACTAAAAAGAATAACCAGGTTAAACTTTTAACAGAATTAATTCATTTAAACTTCGGTAATTTCAATATTTTCGTTCATTTTTGAGAATATTCTACACTCAATTTTCGAGTAAAAAAGTATGAAATCGTGAGGATAAAACTTTTACACATCTCGCGATCGCGAAATGTTGGCACTGATCGAAATATATAAAATATATATATATATATACGATTGACAACCTTTTCAAAATTATTCAAAATAATATTTCATCACTGTTACATTACATTACATTAAAATAACATTACATTACAGCATTATTACATTAAAATTTAAAAGAATTTCATATGTAAACCATAGCCGTTTTGTATGACTGAAGGTCGAGGCTGCAACGAATTTGACGGAGAAATTGAAGAGGGAGAAGGTATTTGATCATTTGGTGTGTTCCGTTTCAGTGATAAATCTAATGGCTGGAAATTATAAATATAAAAGCATTCTTAAATTATAAAAAAAAAGCAATTTTAAAAAGAGCACAAAAATTTTTAATTGTGAAAATTTGAATTTCAATGATATCAAAATTTGAATTGCAAAAATCTGAGTTGCTTGATAAAAAGTCAAAGAAAAAAACAATAGTGACACAACTTTCGGGCATACGAAATGGGTCTAAAAGCAGGTTTGGGCAAAAGTAAGAGAAATTGAGCGTAACTCATGCAGAAAAGTTGCGGATTACCGGTTACGGCAGTTAGCACATCTCATAACGAGGAAGGAATGGGTCATCATAAGATTATCAAATGGTGCCTTGGCAAACAGCAGATTTACCAGCCTTAGTTCAGGCACTTAACTATAATAACAAGATAATGACAAGGGAAAAAATAAAAGATAATATAGTACATATATATGACAGACAATAGACAAGCATAAAATGGCAAGCATTATTCGCTGCTTTAAACGAGATTAATAATATGGATTCGATCCCTGACCCTTAATCTAACCCGTAGTTAAAAGTGAATTCTGGATGGTGTCTGGATTCTTTCTCCAGGCGGCTGTCTGGCGAAGGAGCTATACATTAAATTGCCAGTGAACTTAATAAACCACACAGCCAGGGCAGGACACGAAAAATAAAATGACTTACTTGATCTCCACAGATATCATCACCATTATTACTATCATCATTATCATTTAAATGACAATGATTCGCTTCATTAGTTATACCAATAACATCGAAATCCAGTTCATATGATGATAACAGTTTATTTGGTGATATTGACGATGATGGTGATAACAGTAGTTTAGAATTATTATAAATGGATGTTGCGGGTGTTTTTATTGGTAATATATAATTAGATGGTGGGATTATTGGCGTTGAGGATTTATACATCTGAAAAAACTTCCTTAAAAATATTATACTTTGTGTGCACAATGTGCAAATTTGCGTGCAATTTGCACTGGACGGTAAGAAAATTTAGTTTATCACGAAATAAATTGCAAAATCATTTGTTTTGACAGAGACTATGTTGGCTACTGCTCAACCATTTTGGAACGCAGCTGCTGAGATTCCACTCCACGCGGAAATAAACATGTCTCTCGAAAATATGGGTGATGGGTGGTACTGGTACTGCTAACCAAACTGTTACTAAGCTAGGTGATTTCTGGGCAAAGTTTATACGGCCTAACAAATCACTAACCTGAAATGGTGAGCGCTTTTTTGATATTTTAATATTTTTTTAATTTAGAATTTTCTCGCAAAAAAGCTCACAAAATGAAATTTCATATGGAAAAAGAAATTCTTTTTACAATTACATATTACTTATTGATTATATTCGAGAATTAAAACTGGTCAAATAAAGAAAATTGGAAGGTCAAGTAAAAAAATAGCCGAATGGTCAAATAAAAGTAGCCGAAAGGTCAAATAAAAATAACCGAAAGGTCAAATAAAGGTAGAAAGGCGGAGAATTTAACAAAAATGATGCGGAAACGATAATGAAAAAATATCAAACAAATCGATAATAATCGGACGAATAAATGATCGATAATCGATCGATTTTAACGAAACGAAATGTTTATTTTATAATCAGTAAATATTTTGAAAAAATAGAAACAACACAAAAAAAGAAATTCGCTAAAAAATTTTAAATATTTTAAATAAAATTCTATTTTCAAAATTTGTTTTATTCTAAATTTTAAATTTTATTTTTAAATAAATAAAAAATTTTAAAAGTCAATAATTGTAAAATAAATATAAACATTTAATAAATTATTTTTTTCAAAAAGCAACCCTCCAGAATTTCAAAGAAAATCTTTTTGCTAAATCTTTTTGAGAGCATTCAATTCTTTCAGCGATTTGATGAAGAAGTTTATTACGGTCATCGATATGAAAAATTGTCGCACACCTCGTCATTTGCCGGACGAAATGATGGATGACGGAGGAAGGTCGATTAAAATCTGGGATATCAGGAAGGGATTTCGGACGTATAGACGGCCGGCATAAATTGCTAATATATAGCAATTGCTAATATATGGGCTAAGACGGAGGAAAAAAGAGCGATTTCTATTCTGTTACATTTTGCTGTCATATAGAGGATAGGACATTCTGTAGTCAACGGAGACAGCCAAAAAATTGCTGGGAGCTGTTCGAGAAGATTATCGAAGAAGGAGCTAAAGAAGTTTTGTGAAAATTCTTTTATGAGCATAAAATATATAAAACCAATATTTAAAAAAAGTATAAATATTCCACTATATTAAACAAACAGATGGGAAATGAACTGACGAAGGGATGAACAACAACCTGACCAGTGTCCACAACCTTTAAAATTTTGCGCGGAAGAGAACGACAACGACGACGACAACGTCGTCTCTGCCAACGACAACATTATATGTACATGGAATGTTGAATGGTAGGAGAAGCGTCAATTTTCTTTTTCGAAATTCCGGTTCAATTTTATGGAATTCGTCCTTGAAATTCCATTAAAAAAGGTCAATTTTATACTATTTTTATTTCCTTTTACACTTACCTATGTAGTAATATAACTTTGTCAATAAAAAGTACTTCAAAAAGACTCGAATATTTGGAAGAAACTTTACTTTTCACTTCATTCACGATTCATAATAACCCTTCACTGTTTATATTATATATTACTCATCTCACCACTTTTACTGGACAATGACCCAAATGTCAGTCGCCAACATCACCTACAAATGAAACTTAGAGCAAGGGACAAGAATCGAACGTGTATACGAAGCAGAGTACCATTCGACCATCCTTTTATCGTAAATATTTTCATTTAGAGAAAAAACTCGGAGATTTCCAACCAAAATACGATTTACAGAACCAGGAAATACTGCTCGCTGTCAGAAAGTGATTGTAAATGAGAAAGTTACAATGTTACAAAGTTTATAAAAATGCCAGTTCATATTTACTTATATTTACTCAAAAAAAATTCAGATAAAAATTAAGTACAAAATTACAAAATTTGGAAATTTGCGAAAGATTCTTTATGCACCAATGTAATTAGACTCACAAAAAGGATCGAAACGATTGTCAACGCAGGAAGTTAACCCTCACCATTTCCGATTAGATCGCTCTGGTGGCTCTTATTAGAATGACTTGAAATTTTTGTCAGACAGTCGCTTGGAAAGTCGAAGTAGTAGAAGGAGTCGTCCACCAACTCGTTTTTTAGTGAATTTCCAGGGTGCGAGTTTCTGACGTTCGACGCGATCGATGCAACTATACTACTCGACCATCCACGATTCCTTATATAAATCAAATTTAAAGAATGTTTAGAAAATACGTGGAAGAATTTGAAAAATTTTCCCAAAAAAATGTTTGGAATTTGTGAAATTTAACGAGAAAATTAGAAGCAATGAGAAAATTATTGTTACAATGAAAGCAAAAAGGAATTTTTGACGAAAAAAAAACAGAAATAAAATATATTTGACTATCGTTTTCCTTCATGATATTTTAAAATAATTATGAATAATTGATGGCATGGCATAGTTTTCCGATCTCATTATTTATTATTATTATTATTATCATTATCATTATTATTATTATCATTACTACTATCATTATTTTTATTATTATTAATACAATATTATTGTATTATTACTATATTATTATTCTTATTATAACATCAAAAGGAATGAATGACAATTAGTACAAAATTTTTAATTTAATAAAAATCATTAAAATCATTTTTAAATTAAATTTAATATTATGAATTAAATTTAAAATAAAAGAGAGATAAATATATATCATAAATTTCTTTCTTTCTTGCTGAGATAAAAGAGAAAAATTCAAATAATAAATGTGAATTTTTCGATGAACAAAAATTTTTTTGAACAAAACATACCAAACATTCCATTCGAATTTCTTTCTTATCCCCCTTCAAATTGATTTTCTCAACAAATAATTCTCAAACAAATGATCAATCAATGGCGATTATTGAACAATTATTTCTCAATTGTTAACATTTGAAGTGTGATAGAGGAAAATGATAAAGCAATTGCTGATAAAAATAAAAATGGATTTGAAATTTTCGTGCTTTAAGAGTTATCTACTCGATTATTGAAATGATTCTTCGAAAAGACGAATAACAAACAATCTCTAAAACGCCAAAAAATGCAATAAAAATAAAAGTAATTAATGTCGAAAAACGAGTTAATTTCTTTTAAAAAATTCTAAAAAAGGGATTATTTTATGTATAATAAAATAATACACATACATTTGCTTATAAAATTTTCGTGCTTCTTTCCATTTCCATTTTACTGATGAAATGTTTTATGTATATATAATTATGTAGAAATAGCTGAGAAATGTTCAATTAAAATAATCCAATATTATTTTAATTAATTAAATTGATTAATTAAAAGATTTCTTATCATCCAGGTTCCACTCGTGTTATGATAAAAATTTTATTGGTATGATTTCAAATTTTAAACCATTCTTTTCTTTTAGAGGGGAAACTTGTTTAAAAAAAGAAAATACTTGTGAAACTATCTTGGAAAGGCTAGGCTACCAATGTTCTAGAAACTTCTTGGATTGATGTTTTCTTCGGCCAAAAAAGTATTTATTCTTGAAGGGTATTAAGTTTATATTCGATAAAAGGCTGATTTCTTGATTCCTTTATTTACATTAATATTAATATACGATATAATATTATTGCTATTGTTATTATTGTAATTATTATTATTATATATTATTATTATTACTTTATTATTATTACTTATTGTTATTACGTATTATTGCTATTATTATTTATTACTACTTATTATTTTTATTATTGTTCTTCATTATTTATTATTATTATCAATAACTATTATTATAAATTATTATTCCACTAATAATTATATACTATTACTAATATCGTATAAGTTATTAAACAGCTTCACTGCATTAATTTGTTTATTTAGCAACATTGATTTGATTGTAAATATATTTCTTTTTCTAAAATATTTTTACCGAATCTAAAATAACCGAATAAACTATATATCAGCGAATGTATGTGTACTTTTTTTGATCAGCTAAATGATAAAAAATTGTCGAAATTTGTCGACTGTTGTTATTTAAAAACGCAAATTCCTAAATTTTTATCATAATACATCAATTTCAAAGAATGAAAAAATTTTAAATTCTTATATACACATAAAAAATTTTGTTTTTATATTATAGGGGGAAGGATGGTCGAAGCTTCGCTTCGAGTTCCCAACACTCCTTCATTCTCCTTCATTAAAAAATCCGCGCGGTACCGATAGCTCTCTTTATTTGTATTTTTATCGAAATCATTCACTTTTTCACTTTGCTTAAATTAAATTCACTGATCAAATGAAAAAAGCACTCGAAGCACTTTTAACAAAATTCCATCAAATAAGACAAATTTTATACAAAAAAATTTGTCCAGCACGGACAAAACAAAAAAATTGACAGAACATAACGAAAATGGCAAATGGAAGATTTTACAAACGATCTATGATGCGATCGTTTCGATTTGCACATTGTTTCTCGCAATATTTTCTAACAATTTTTGTTTATACTCCATCCATTGAAATAAATTCTTCAAGTTGATAATTACGAAGAAATTCATTCCAATCAATGTTTTTAATTCTAAATTTTCAAAATTATTTTAAAAAATAATAAACTATGTAATTTAAAAAAATTTTCCCAATATAAATGGATAAAAATGATATGCAAATTTCTATAGGCTTTATAAAGCTCGGGAATTTCTACCATATATTTATGAGCAAATTTTACCATTTTTCGAATATGCTAGAATAACACGAAACGGCTGAAAAGGAGCTTATCAAAGCGTTCAAAAGACTAATATTTTGAAAATTTTCATTGAACGCATAATCAAGTGATTTCCGAGAAAAACTAACATATTAATATTTTTAAGTGTACTATGAGTACAATAACCATCAATTTTATAATGGCAATGTTTATGGCAGATTAAACGGCAATCTGAAATTTTCATAATAATTCATAATGAAACGAAAGCAAATCCGATGAAGCTAGAAAGCATAATTGTTCGGAAAAAATCTTTATCTTCAACTGCCATTTCCTTATGCATCGCCTGCAAACTTTTAATTAATTAATTTGATTTGGACTTCTTTCAGTGATTAAAATAATTTACCTCGACATTCATAGGCTTGTTTCGTGAAACTTTTCGAAATTTTTCGATGACAAATACCACAGTCTATTCCGCTGAAAAATTTATAAGGTGATAATTTTCTTGTTTTTTATACTTCTATCAATTTTTCTTCTCTAAATCTAATAGTATGATTGGGTGGTGTAAATCTTCGGATTTTTTATTCAAAAGAATGTTAATGCTTAATACTCACAAAAAATAGGACGAAATTAAATAGAACATTTACATTTTACCGATATAAAATAAAAAAATCAACAGCAAAAACGAACTCCTTAACTTTAGCAGCAACGAAAGTATGTTCATTATAAATATGTAATTTTCGGCCTTTCTGGAAAATTTTTGATGCAGCTGGATCGATGAGAACTGATGGAGGTATCAAATAATGTCTGTGGTTAACATTTAATTATTAAAGGTATTTAATAAAAGAGAGTTATTAAAATGTTTTTATTGTTTTAATTTTTAATAATAAGAAAATACGGAAATAAAATGAAAACAACTATTGAGCAGAAATAATGTACAACTGATGGCAAGAAAGTGGTGAAAATGTGATGAACAAAGTAAATGCAGTAGCACCAAAATATTAAATATAGAAGATAGAAAAATCCATGCTCAGATCCTAAAACCATTCTAGATGGTCAAATATTGCTTGGACTGATAAATATTGACAAATATTGAGTATCACTTGTTCAGTTCTTGCCTACAGCCTAACTGCAGTAAATCTGCCATTAAAAGCATTTATATCTCTAAGTGATCCAGCAAAAGGTTTAGCCTATTTCACTCTAGTGGAGTTTAACGAAACCAGAAGTGTTATTTGAAAGGAAGGAAATTAAATTCAGCCTATTTTTTCAGTTTTCTAGACAATGAAATTAAGAAGCACTGTTACTTTAATATTACTTAATAAAAGTTCAAATAGGCAGGCTTTAAATTTAGTAAATGAATGTAAAAACCTAAGAAAAATAAGTGGATGCCGGTTTACATTTCCGGTTAAATTTACTCAATTGGTTATTAATATGGTCAGAAATTTTTTTTTATTTAGCAGTAGGAATATAAATGGGTCATTAATGCAACTTGATTTTTTAATGATAGGTTTATTTCTGCAAGGGATAGGAACCGAGCCCTTGCATCCTAACAGGATAATTTCGTGGGTCTTAAGAAATGAAAAATAAAATAATATAATAATAATACAAAGATTTTCTTGAACTTGAAAATTTACCTTTTTTTATTATTTTTTTCCATTTCAAGTACCAGAGTACTGTTTTGATATAAACTTCTCGACGACTCTTTGGATTTCGCTCCGACTGATCTTGTTTCGCTTTTGGCTTTTTTTTTATCTTAAATGACCACAACCTTTTTTTAATAAACCACGTATTAGCAGCGAAATTTGCAATAAATAAATTAAATTATTAATAATTTTAATTATGACTGCAGTTACTATACAAATAATTTTGAATAGGCATTTTTTCTTCACATATATGGAAACGAAATATGCGTAAAGCACCTGGCTGACGAGTTCGAGATGGCTCCCGAGAGCTTGGTAAAGAAACAGCTTCGTCAAATTCATGGCCAATATCAGAGCTCTTCGCTCGTCGTATATACTTACCACTTAACCGATCTCGTAATTCGCTAAAAAATGAACGATCGCGTTTGACTGAAGAGGTTAAGTTTTTTTTATTGCGATCTGAAATTTTAAATACAAACTCAACTTAAATAGAGGTCCAATTAGTTTTTAAGAAATAAATTATGATGTTGTATCATGTATGATCATATATATTTATATAGCGCTTACTTATATTTAAATAAACAATTTCTTAAAGACTGGTGAAATTAGAAAGATGAAATTCACTGGAAATGTTCGAAATACCTCTTGAATTGTGAGTATAAGCTTCACTTGTTGCCGAAATTTGTTGGAGAGGAGAATTTCTTGTTTGTGGCAAGACATCTTCAGAACGAAGATTATTTTCAGCATTGGTTCTTAATGATGCAATTAAGATTATATTATGGAAATCGTTTGCAAATAAGAAAAAAATGAATGAAGAGAACCAGTACAATACAACAGAATTCTGGGATACATTTTTTTGCTCAAATCGAGCTTAATATTCAAGCCACTATTTTAGGCATATTTTAGGCATATATTAAAATGGAACCTCATATAGTTCATATCATTTTCTTCATTAAACATGGTTGGTTGATTACGATGAGCGATTGATTCTATAACGCGAACATTAATGTTACTCTGTGGCATATCGCGATCAGGTGACATTTCATTTTCGCGTCGCTGGAAAAAATTATTTCATTGTTTTCATCGAAATCAACAACAAATTCTTTCAGAGCTTAGGGAATTATTAACGCACATATGTTGAGATAACTGAACTAAAAAAGATTAAAAGAAACTAATATCTGCAATATCTCATCCTGAAAACCTGCAGATACTTTTCTACCATACTCGAAACGTTTTTTTCACAACGGATTTCGAATTATATGTAATAATATGTAATTCTTCATCGTTTTTCTATATAATATTATGATTTTCTTCTTGTAGATTCGTATAATTACACTTTGCAAAAGACTTGAAACTTGGAAAGAAGCATTCTGATTGAAATTCAAATCAGTTTTCACGGCGGTCACATTGCTTTTATTTAGTTCAGGTCTCTTTATGTCATCGTGCCTTCCAAAACTGTCTAAATCATTTGATATTAATTAATAAATCAGTGAAGACAAATGGCAAATATTTACGCAGTTCGTTTTCGAGCAAACTTGCTTGAAACTTTTTTTCAAACGTCTCATCTTTTAAGTCTAATACTTCACATATGCCATTCCTTCGTGGAAATATATTTCTTTGTTTACTAGATGATTTTTACATTATTACATTATTAAATGAAAATATTTTTTAATTCCCATAATTTTATGAGAATTACATACCTACCTCTCGGATCGTATACAGCGGGTCTTTTATCCTCATTTATTTCGCTTCTCACAAATTCATTCACATTTTCCACAACGTTTTGGTGAATTTGCTTTCCACGTGATGCGAGATTTGTGTCGTAAAGAAAGTCGAACTGCAAATTTTTTTTGTACTTCCATTCCTAATCAAACAATATGATAATAATGATAATTAATGATAATAACATCTAGAAGAACCTTTTTGATAAATGAAAGATTCATAACTAGATAATATTAAACTAGTTGAAAAATGGAAATGGAATCACCTCTACAGTAAGTGTTCCCGAAACGTTGTCGTTTCTATAGGGTCTACCTTCCAGCCTAAGATTGTGAACTCTCTCCGAGGATTTTAATATTTCTTCAAAGTCAACAATAGCAAGGCCAAGAAAGCGTTGATCGTTATCAAGCACTGAATGTTCGCCTTCATAGATTTCAAATAAAATCTCTTCCGAAGCTGGAGACAAAGTACTGCAAAGAATATTTCATTTTTTGTGGTGTGGCAACTAATGTTTTTTCGGAATTTAAAATAACGGTAGTTGGTAGTGAAGAATCGAATTTTTAACCCAGAATTTATTCAGCAAATATATTTATTAAAAATATTATTGAAAAAATACTTTAAACAGCGCAATGCTTGTAACTATGCTTGTAACTATTATTTTTGACAAAAAACCGTGCAATTTTTGATTTGTGTCATAAATTGAATTGTTCGATTACATCAGTAGAGTATACTGAATTTATTTGTGTTTTTTCTCTACAGTTACATACAATTAAGCAGAAAGAACTAACAAATCGAAGGATTCCTCCCAACATGGGCATTTACTCGACCCTCTGTTAGATGTATATTTTTGAGTGGGTTCATCCATTTCGACAACAACATAGGGTTGCGATATGTCTCAAAAACAATTTAAATAAGCTGAATTGTGAGTATAAAATATCCTTATACAAAAAATAAGTTATAATAAATTCAAATATGAGGATTCTTATGGCAAATTACAGATAAAAAAAGCTACCTCGATTTTTTCCAAGATGAGCTCGAATTATAGTGATTCTGAGCTTGTTTGATTCAATTATTGCTGGCTTAATCTAAACAAATTTTTTTAAAACTCAGAAGCAAGTAATATTTCTTATTTTTTATTGCTCTGAGGCAGGTTTCAAGAAATTGAAACTATTGCAAAACCATTATAGAAATAAAAAGCCAGAGATAAAAATTTGCATGAAATATGCTTAATTTTTTTTTCTAAACATTCACCGTTTACGTTCGACCCACTGCTATTAAAATAATATCCAGAGAATTATTTGGAGACAAAGATACAAATATAAGATACAATGTAATAAGCTTACACAAGAAACTTGAATCAAATGTATTGTAGCTTGGCCTTAATCAAACCAATATACCGTTAAGCCATTCTATTCCTAAACTGATAATCAATTTTATAAAAATTTTTTACCTCTGTGTGGTGAATTTGTTTTATTGTTTCTGGAGTGGGAGGAATAAATATGTCTTTTGTTTGACCGAGTGCTGGTTTCAAAGTTGATGGTGACAGTGGTGAAAAAACATCTGAACCGATTAATTGTGTAGAAGTAAATTTTGTTGGAATTACTGATGACGGCAGAGAGGATGGATTTGTCAATGAGATATTTGTTACTGCTGTTACAAGACATTTCCTTATAGCGTCTTCAACTAAGCCACAATTGACTTGTTCACTCTGAACTAATATTAAATAAAGCGTTTATTTTCATTAATAAATTAACACGATTATGAACTAAATGCAATAAAATATGGAGGGTTTAAATAAAAAATCATTCAGTTTCAATTAAATCTCACGAAAAATGGATAAGATTTAGAAAATATGGAGATATGGAAAAAATATGGAAAAAATAAGGAGGGGGGGATGGGAAAACGAATAAAACGAAGTTTCCTTCATTTACTATGGAAAGAGCTGCATTTTTAGCGTAAACCACAGTTGTGCTTTAGAATGGACGCTGTAGCAAAATCTAAGAGAATAGCTGATTATGGTCCAAGTGGAGTAATTTATGTTAAGATGTTTATATATTAATAGTGGGTAAGGATTTCCTTTTTTTAATTCTTATTTGCTCTTACTTTCGATCTTTCGAAAAAAAATTCCTTCATTTCTCAACCAAACATTGATCTGGGCTGCTTCATGGAAAAATAAGAAAAACTTGTAGCCAAAAAGATTGAGTTTTAGGTTTAACATAATATTCAGATACTTTCTTACATGCGAAAATAAACTTACGGAATTCCTTTCAGTGTTGCTTAATTGTATATCGAGTTCAGGCCGCCCTTTAAAGCATCCCATCATGTATATCTGATTTGCTATACAAGCAATCCTTGCTTCAATCTAAATTCTCAACCAAATTTTTGATTTTATTTTTCACCGTGTTTAAACTTAATTAACTTCTCAGGTATTGTTGGCACGAAATGAACATCTTGTAGAAAGCGGATTCGATGGATTTTTTGACAATCAGCTTATGTGGAAGCAGATTAAAATTATTTTTATATATATTCGCTCTTTGCTTATAATGCATAAGAAGAACGGAAACTGTAGAACATCTAATAATTGATAATTGATAAATTAATGAAAAAACCGACTTCTCCATGTAAATCAGTGATCTTCGCATCATATTTGCTAACAATCAAATGATCATCGAGTCTCTTGGAGCTTAAAACTTTCAAATTGATTTCTGAGATATCAATCGTGCTTTTCAATGTCTATAAAACAAATATCAGTTAATCTTTTCCAAATTTAATATTCTTAATTGGTGAAAGTTTCATTTCTTTGGACGCTTTCCAAGTAGCATTTGTGAACATTTGTTCTTCTTGTTTTTTCCTTATTGTTTTATTTTTTCTATTTATTTTATTTATATCCACAGTGTTTTTTCAAATCATAAGTGTATTATTGTTCCGCTTATGTTCTGGATTTTGAATGTTTTGGACATATTGATATTTTGCTTGATATTTTAATGAAATTAAAATATATAAAAGACACATAAAGGATTTGCATACCGAAATTATAGTACTTGATAAAAAGCATGATAAAGAAAGATCCAGATGAAACGACCCAAATATTACAAAAAAAGTTTTGCAAAGATTACGATACCATAGTAGGCCACCATAATTAGGCTAGGTTTAAATCTTGATCTATCAAGATTTTCTTAATTTAAGGAAATATGCCACTGTAACCTCACTCGCTCTTTCAATTAGAAAATTACCAAATGATCTTTAGGGCCTTGTTCGATTACAATGTTACTAATTTTAGGTGGATTGGACGAGTTGAATTTGTCGCCGAATCCTTCGAAAAATATATCACACGTTGCCTGAAGTACCATCATATAAAACGGAAAATGCGAAAAAATCTCTGAACCATCGCTTCAGAAATTTTGACAATTTATTGCTAATAGGTATCGCTAAGGCGATAATATTAAAAAAATATACATAGCAGCAATTTAATGAAAGGTGGTTTCAGTAGACTTCGAATTTTTTCAGTAAAATAACGAATAAAAAAAGCAAATGTGAAAATTAATATAAGATTTACTGGTGAAGAAATTTTTTTGGCTGCTTCATTGAGTGACTTAATCCAAGCATCGAGTGAATCTGGCACTTTTTGAAAATTCTTATAAAGCCAAGCCAATATTATATTCGGCCAGTCGTTTGTCTGTGATCTAGTAATTGTCCTTGATTATTTATTACTTGTGTTTTATCGTTTCATTATTTTTCTTCTATTTCTAATGCTCTCAAATCAATAGAATAATATGCTCAAGAAACAATTTCCATTTAACGCTGAGCATCTTTCTTTACTGCCACAAAAATTTAATAACTTTAAACTACTGCAATCTTTTTATCAGCTACTATTTTTTGCTACATTATGCACAAAGTGCTTTAAATGCTTTGTTTCACGTCACCAATGTTTAGTCCAAAATAACAATTGTCTATAATATCGCTGAAATTATTGCTATTTAAATCGATCACAGCGAAAGAAATAGAAGAAAAATGCAGACTTACGGAATGGTTGATGAGTATAAATTTGTCGAAGACGTAGTTCCATTCGATTTCAGTTCTCTTTCTGCTGTTCCTGGCTGCCTGTTTGAATCGAGCTTATTTATAAACAAATAACAAAGCGTTCCAACAATTGTCCATGAAAGAACCAACCAAATGAAGCTGTCCATTCCACCCCCGCTATTAAACTCTGCAACAAACTTTGTTTTCTTTCTATTTGCATCGCCACCTAAACACTTGTTAAACATACAGAACTATCTCGGTGTGAAGAATTCAACTTGATTAGCAAAAATCAAGCTTCTGAATTATAAAATTTATAATTTATAGATTATTTTGTCAAATAAAATATACCAAATATGCAAAAAAACTGAATGTATAAATTCAGAATTTTTCAAATAATTTCGCACGAAAGTATAATTTTTTTAAAATTTAATCAAAATAAAATAAGTAGAAGTAAAATTCTTCTTCTAAGAACGGGCACCATTATTGGTTCTTCTGTCTATGAGAGTAAGGCATTTCGAAGTTCCTTCTGAATGCCACAAAGTAATACAAGCCATTCCTTTTTTCTTCGCCTAGACCTATTTGTCCTCAAAATCCCTTTTTATTGTACAATACACAGTTAAAAAAGATTGACTAAAATAGCGACAATAAATAAGATCCTCCAGCATAGATCCATAATACCGGAAATTTTTAGATAAATTCGAAGCTGTAAAAAAAGTTTGAAAAAAGCAAATTTGAACCATGAGAACTTATTGAAATTTGCTTTAAGCATCTGAATTAATCAAAATTTTCCAAACTAAACAATAAATATAGAAAAACAATGTCTCTAAAAACATTTTCATTTTGGAACACACGGAGAGATTTTGACGTAGTAGATGACATTCTCTATGATATTTATCCATCACTTTGAATTTGAAAACAAGATCATAGCATTGTCCTTATTAATTTTACTCTAAAACAGGCGTTATTTTGAGACAATTAATCAGTCAAAAAAGACCAGAAAGAAGAAAAGCATTATCAGAATCATTATCAGTAATATTTATCATATAATAAATAACGTAAATATCTATGCTTGAAGCATGTTGGTACATTTTCAACTTTTATTTAAATGAATATATGGTTGATAATGGACAGGAATCAATGGCAAAATGGAATATTTTGTTATGAGTAATTATAGCATTAATTATTGCATAAATGAGGAATAAATATAAAGTGTAGTGAAATATGCATAAAAGTAGAATTAACAGGATGGATGATGGTATTAATAGTGATAAGTGATTTAAATTGATAAAGGAGTGATAAGATTCAAAATCAAATTGGTTTCAATTACTTACTTTTACTTTCAGCACCGTTTCGAAATTCTTCCAAAATTTAACAAGAAATTTGAGTATGATTTGGATTCTATCATTTCATATAAAAAAAATTGGCTTATAATACGATAAAATCAGATAAAAATCTACGTACAATAAATGAAATAATAACAATTTTGAACAGATTCTTGCATAACTCCTCATTGTAATAAATAAGCAGCGAAAACCATCCGCCCATAGAACCAATCTTATAATATCTTATTATCTTATGTCTTGCAAACAAAATATAAGAAACCTGAAGGCAGCAGCAAGAGAAAGAGTAGAAGCAAACAAAACGATTTTTAGCGCTTTAAACAATAATTTAATTGTAACTTTTTGCGTTATTGATTAACGAAAAAAAGAAGGTTTCCCAAATAAATTTACTTTATAATCTATATCTATGGGAATTCAAATAATTTTATTCAACATTATTCATTATATATTAACAAAAATATTGTATCACAATTATCATATAAAATGTTATTTATCAATTATCAAAGTTTGACTTGCAAAGTTCAAATCCCTCTACTATCTCTATTATCACGTGAATAATGAGCTGCTGAATTATTCAACGAGGATTTCCCAGTGATGCATTCAATTACCTTTCGTCTCAACCCAAGTTCTCGCAAATCTTAGATAATGATTCATATTTATTTAACTGTCCATAATTTATCTAAGGTACACTCGTACGTACCATCTTCTGTGCAATCAAAGGAGTTGAAAAGTCAGTTAAATTACCAATAGAATTTTTTATGTTTCATCAACTAATAGATACTAGTTGAGACCACTCAAGCCTAAACCATATTTGCGATTAATGAAAACCACTCTTTTTTCCGGTTTCCAAAGCTCTACTTACCATGTGATCATGATCTTAGTCTGTCAAGATTATATTAAACATCTTCATTTTGGCCACAGAATTTAAAAGATAACCCTTGTGATGAATAACTTGGCCGAATCAAAGCAGGCAACTCCCTTAATTTCATCTCTATGGGACTCTTTGTAGTTAGTAAATATTGCGTATTAGTTCCAGCGTGAGCTAGTGAAGAATGCCTTCTCTGAATGCCTTTGCTTTATAGACTTTTTGCTACCAATATATGTTCCTGATATCGAAGAAGATACATGGAATTCTCTGGATGACGAAGACTCCAACCAGGTTAATTGTATTTTAATCAGTCGCCGTTGAAATAGTCTCATACTAGATAGTCGTACCTGTCGGACGCTGAAACATTTATGGATCAGACTATTTATGACTCGAGGCAAAATTGGCATAAATAACGTCCCACAATGTCATTCAACTATCTCAAACAAAAAGACTTGTAGAAGGCTTGAAGGCTTGGAGTAAGTACATTTTAGACCGAGTTATCGAGACTCAATGATGTAAATTTCACTGGCATCTTTACCGATGAATACTACTCCCAACTAAAGGCATGTTTCTGAAATTGGGCCAAATCCACATTAGGGTAAATGCCACTTAGAAATATGCTAGTTGTGCATCGGAACTGTTTAACTGTTCAAAATGAGCATGAGGAAATCCTTGGTGGCCAAATACTTATGTTAAGAGACATGTTATAAGACATGGCTTCAAATTTCAGCAACTCACCATCTATTTCTGCTGCCTTTGATTCGACTGATAAAGCAGTATGAGCGATAGAGTGCGATGGTTGCAAAGAAGATTATTCCACTCATAAAAGCATTTTATCATATATCGTATATTTATCAGGGTATAGATCTGTCTACATGGCGAATTGACAGATTCTTCAAAAAAAGAACTGGTATCCGCTAAGGCTTCGTCTTTTCCCCTATGATATTCAACTAAGCCATAGGTTGGATTATGGACACCTCTTGCCGTCATTCAAAGGATGAAGAAATCAGTCCAAAGTATAATACCACAGACTATACTCTGACAAATTTTGCTGGTTATGAAGGAATGGAAGAGATAGTAGACAGACAGTGTAACACAAAAATCTCTGTAAATCTAAAAATCTCTGATGAAAGCATTTTCATTACACATATCAGATGCTGAAAAAATATCTATTTTTCTTAACTGATCAGGATTAGCAGATTTTAAATATGTTCGATCCGCGCTTATACTAAATGACCAAATCAAAGACGACTATTCGCAGCTAGAAATACGTTCTTTCGTTTCGCGAAATTTTTATGGAATAGATGCGAATTCATAAAAAAGTGGTGGAAATTGCTAGAAGAAGAAGAGCCTTTTAAAAGCTTTGATTGAAGCTTATATTAATTTATTTCGAATAAAAAGCCCTGCTGTGACAGTTCTTACAGCGCGTCCTTACATATTGCCAGTTTATAGTTTATCTGAATGATAAAACATGCGCAAAAGCACACTTCGATGATTTCACGGTCTCCTTAAATTGTTAATATTGCTACGTGGGACTTATCTTCAGTTGCTATTCTTGAAACTATATCTTGCGCTTATAACGAGGTGATAATAATGTCACAATTATCGCTACCTCAGGCTTGGCTAATTTAAAATTTATTAAATCATAATTCGAAATTCGATAATTCTATAGTTTTTCTAAAATCTTTACATTATTAATAAATGCTTCGTTACCGATGTTGTGATCTTACTGTCAACAGAAGCAAAATTTTCTTTTAAAAATTCGTGTGATGCTGACGACTCACCTATACTTCTGTTGCAAGTGACTCGTTAGTAAAATTTTTCTAGTTCGACAAATTTACGGAGAGAGCTTAACCAGAAATTTTGAGATTTTGAGAGCACTTAGAAAAATTATTTTGACAGGACTTTCGATCTAGGAAATTGATTTATGTTGTTAATTTCAGTGTGGCGGTACGACTATCTAGCATGGAATCCTTCCAGTGACTATTTACCACAAAAAATCATTTTATATCGAATGTCTGACTAGACTGACTATCTAGAAGATTCATGTTGAAAGCATACGTTGATAACAAAAGGACTGCAATGCGGAATATTTACTCACCACTGGGTACCAGATTCCGATGCTACATTTGCAGAAACTATCATTTACTCGTTGGAAAAGTCTTGTTGAACACTTCTCATTGCAGGCTATAAGAAAGAGGATTAAGACGCTGTAAAATTCACTTTAAAAACGACCGCGATTTGTTCAAGGCTTCAAGCTGTTTGATCGATTTTTCTGTCGGAAATTTTTCTGACATACAGTCGCGACTAAATTTTATTTAGAATTATCTGGAACATCAGAATTATCGCAAAGATTTTAAATGGGTAATCCACCACATATAGTGCCGAAATACTTGAATTTAATTTGAGAATATAGAAATCCATAAATAACTGATGAGAATGAGACGGATGACCCTTAGTACTTAGTACAATTTTTTTCCTAACAACTCCTTCCTTCTTCTCTTTGCAATCATCTCTTCATATTTGGCAAAAAACATAAGATCTTTTTAATTTAATCATAAAATGACACGAATAAATTGTTAACAAGTGATTATGCACATATTTTCAGGTGCAAGAGTTTTATTTTTCTCTAGAAAAATATTTTTTAGCTAAGATTCGTATGTTTACATATTTAATAATTACTAAAATTAGCTGTTGTGATATTTGATAATATGTGATATTTACCGTATCATTAAAGTAAAACTGGGAAATTATTAAAATATTTACTTGTTTTATTTAAATATTTTATATATTTGTTAAATTATTTTTTTTCTTGGACAAAATTATTAGAAATATTTATTAAAATTATTAATAGAAAATTTTTCACGCAATTTGAAAAAGACTAAACCAAGCAGAAGTCGACATTAAAAATGGTTAATGAAGTTTCAATAATAATATTATTCAATATATTATTAAGAAAATGGTTTTAGCAATAACGACTCTTTGAAAGGGCCCAAAGAGAATTCACGGCTTCTTCAGTAGATCAATTTGTCAATTTGCTTATTTTGTAAGTAAAATATAAGATATATGATAAGATATATGATAAGATAAGATAGTACTCGATTGAACTTTTCTATAGAAAGAATATCATTTAATTACTATATTCAAAGTCATTACATAATATTTGTGTACAGTTAGATCGAAATATGACGATATTTATTCAGAGGTTTTATTTTTTAAAAAACACTATAAAATGAAATTGAATAATAAACGCAAAAATATAACTATCAGGAATTTTCTTGAACATTTTCAGGAGGTAATGAAGCCATTAATAACAAAATTTTCAGACTAAAATCAAAAATAATTGTCTAAAAACACGAAAGTTTGACAATTAGTCATTAAATCACCATTGAAAAAATATTATAAAAAAATAATTGCTTCAAATATTTGAAAATTCATAGAGTATAATGTGAGATCATAGAACTGATAGCATTAGTGTGGCATTTCATTATTAAGAAGTTTGAATAATTTAATCATCATTAATAAAAATAATTTGAAATTAAATAATGACGTACATCATCAATTTCAATAACAAAGAAACTGCGAAAATTGAAAAAAATCATTGTTGTTAATTGGAATAAATATAACGCAGCAGAATTATCGAAGATGAAAAATTAATTTTTTTTAATAATTATTTTAAACCGAGAAAATTTAAAAACCAAATCAAGAATCAAAGGGAAAAAATTAGCCCATAAAAAGTTGGCTTAGTTGGAGAGGGAAGAGATTATTTCGTATGATCATCACAGCCATCAATTCCGAAACTCGTCCTGGCTAGAAAATGAGCAACGCAACAGAAGCAAATATCGGTATACGATGCCCCATAATTGCTCAAAATCATTGATAAATCATATAGTAGTATCCCTTACATGAGAATTATATAAGGGTGCTAACTCGCGAAGCGGGATATTGAGCCGATTATTTGAATTTTTATAAATTCTATAAGTTGCCACGATTGATAAAATAAACGAAAATAGCAGTAATATTGTGCCACTTCCATAGAGATAAAATGCAAACCCAATTTCTTGCTAAAATTAAATGTAATGCAGAAGAATTTTAGGTGAATATATTTTTATTGCCTTTTTAAATGTCTTTCAACAATATTTATAAACTGCATTTCTTAGATATTTCAAATTTTATAACAAAATAAAAATAAAGGTCTTCAAAAATAATTTTAGCACCAATAATTCACAAGAAAAAAATAATATCTAAGCTGACTTGAAGTCTCAGACATAAGATTATATATCTTGTAATAGCAATGAGCTACAGAATAATTTAATTCCGCAAGAAGCCTCCTTTAGCGCAAATTAATGGAGCTGCACAAGTAAGAATGAAATATTCAAAAATTATTCGATAATTCTGTAGCTTTAACAAACCTCGTATGTTCCAACAAGACCTTGTACAAATCTACTATCTACACGATGAGCAGCGAAGAAAAATATTCCAGCAGCAGCCACTGCGAAGATTACTAAAATTTGTTAGCCATAGAAATTATAAAAAATTACATGTAGATGCCATTTTTTTTCTTTAGTAGTTTTGAAGCCTTTGCCATTCGAATTTTCTCAAAATTTTGATCAAAAATTTTATAACTGCAGAAAAAAAATCCAAAAATTAATATAAATAAGAAATCATGGAAAAAACAATCGCAGTGAATTTATTGCAATGAATCTGCTGATCACTGCTATTCTACCACTTGTGCTATTGCATCGTATATCGAATATGTCGAATATAAAATATTTTGAAATTTAATAATTATTTTGAATGCTAATGCTTGCAGACATAACTGATTGAAATTAATCGAATCGATTCACAATCGATTTGACCAATATCTTATTCCACAATTTTTTTGTTAGCTAATGGAATCATTAGCCAGTGGAATAAACTACCTTAGAAGTCAAAAAAGCTGGACTTGTCTGCACTAGAACTGTGGATCCTTCTATAATTATATAGTTAAAAACATATACGGTTGAATTTCATAAGTAAAAAAGATAAAAAGGTGTAGATATTTACTAATATATTTGCAAGGGAAAAGTTGATATTTTTTAAAGATTAATAACGCCACTAACCAGCCACAAAAACAAGAATATCGTACAAAATAGCACAAGCACTATAGCATGATGCGCATAAACCAGTACATGCACCTAAGATACCTGCTGTTAAGGATATGCCAGCAGATATTAGAACAACTTTCTGCCACCCTATAATTTTGCATGTAAAATGATTGCATAGATGTTGGAAGGAAAAAACTCTTTCAGTGTTACCAAATAGTAAAACTTATAAATAGTAAAATAAGAATGTCCACCACTGTTTTTTTCAAATATTTGCATTTTTCCATTGTCGACGATTGAAAATTTTACTTAATCGAATTTCCATGAATTCTAGCTTTCAGAAATAAGAAAAATTGTAGAATGCAGAGCATATGTTAGTTAGTTAGTTAGTTAATTAAGCTTTCACTCATAACTGAACATGACTATATGATTATATTATTAGAGAAAGATGAAAAAATTTAATAGCAAATTAAATGAAATGCAACCCGAATTACTACAGCCTAATTTGTCAGTATGGGGAATAGGATGGCTCAGTGGGTCAGTGGGTTGTTGCTCAATTCGGAGAGCCAGTAATGAGGTTCTATTCCCCGCAGCAGTAAACCTGTCCAAAAATCCGAGTGATGTTGGCGACTCACCTGTATCGCCGAGGGGCTCCCTGGCATAATGCGACAAGTCAGCGGAGCGAGTTTAACCAATAATGGTGAGGATTCATAAAAAAAAAATTTCTCAGTTTAAGTGTTATGTATTGCTATGTATTACTAAAAGCCGTTAAAAGATATGAACAGTATAAAAATTACCGAAGAACTGGTGATGCTCAGATTCTCCTGCTGCACTGTTATCAATATCACGAAGATTCTCTCCAATCACTTCCGATGCAGAATAATCAAATTTATATGTGCATGATAAGGGAATATTATCATCATACAGCGATGGATAGAGAGATGAATGTCGATTTGGTCTTGAACAATCTTGCCATAGACCGTGCTCAAAAATAATTTTTTATCGAAATAAAAGTTTTAATAAAAATAAAAGTTATATAAGTTGAAAAAACTAAAAAAGATTTCAAGAATTATTTCAACCGCTATCCACAAAATATCACCCAATGATTATTTGACAAGGATGGATTTCTAACCATAGTAATTTAGAAAAGGTAAGAACCAACCATTTTTTTCTTTAACTATAAATACAAATGTTTAATAGATTTACATCAAAACCGTCGAATTGAATTTTTATAAACACAAATTTTTTTGGAATTATTTTTTTTCATTTTTATATAAAATAATTCTTAAATTTCTGAATAAGTTTTTGAATATTTTTTTAAATTAATAATTTTAACAATTTATTTAGCGCTTAATTATATATATTTACATAATATAATTTAATAATCCAGTTTTTTTGAAATAATTTTTTAAAACAAAACATTGAATCAAATTAATTTATTAGGCACTAATAAATATGGCTCACATGATGTATAGCGCGAAATTCACGAATATCAACGACTTGCCACGATGGAGAAATAAGACCACCAATATTTAATCCAATGCCACTTATTAACAATGCTATTGAAATAACAAATATAACAGTTTGCGCAACAGTTGACCTCTCTTCCCTCATTTCAAAAATTTTCACTTCCGCAGTTTTTTAAAAAATATTCTTGAAATCTAAAAACGAAAACTTTTCCAGATACCTTTTTACAAAATTACACGAATAGCAATAAAATCAGCATTACATTACATATTCATATGTGTGAAATAGACGATAACGGTAAATTAATTTTGGTTGATCTCGTCTGCCACTCGATTTCCAATTATGTTTTATGTGGGCAGTTTAAAATGCGATTTGCTATCCGTTAGCGAATAAACCATTTATTTCTTCTCCTGGATAATTAAACAGATGAATTTTAAAATAATACAAAATGATTAATAAAATGGCTAAGACAAAGAAAAAGAAATAACGCCATGAAGGGAACGAAATTATAATTACTAACAATTCATCAATTAATGCAAAATAAAACCACAAAAATTAAAAATGAAATTCTATATTATGCCAGACTCGACTAATAATCTATTCTCTCTAGCCGCTGCAACCGAGCATGATTGTAAGGATTATAGTAAGAGGGATCAGAACACAATTTAAATACTCGGGAACTGCGAAAAGACTCTCTAATAAGGAAAAGGAGAAATATCAAATATCTTTTTAAATGATATGATACGAATTCGCGACAATATCATCAATTTTATACCATAGTCCCACATTAAAGGCAATGAGGATAAATAATGAGATGTCGGATGACCTCTCTTCCTTCATTTCAAAAAACAATACTGGCTTGCTGTCCATATTTCGGATAAATTGTAGGCAGCAAAATTAACTTGTCTTTCTAGTGGTGATTCTGGTAATACCATTCGTGCTTCTAGCACCAATTTTTCTTCTCCGACAAATCAGCGGAGTGAATCTAACCAGAAGTCGTAAGCCTTTAGAACGACTAATCGCATGATCGAACGAATCACGGCTATATAGATGCGGACTTTCGTTTTTATTGTGATTTCACGGCGGCTCCATAAAGATTCTGCCAACCGGAAGAACGCATTTTTAGAACGCATTTTTAGCTGCAGTAATGCCGGATTGTCTTTTATCGTCTTATCTTTTGCTTGGCCATTCGCTATTAGAGTGGATACAAGATATTTAAAATAAATATATTTAGAATTGTAAGTATTTTTAATACAAATATCACTTTTAGTAGCTTAATCACATACATTAAATTGCATAAAATATTATATTACTCCGAATAATAATGATTTATAAAATAAAAAGTGATTATTCGAAATTTAATAGTACCAAAGAAGAGAGAATTTTCTTTCTTGATGAAAATTTGAGTTGATGAAAATTTCAAAAATATTTATAGAAGGAAATATTTATATTTGTTTCTATAGTAACAAATATCGAACAATTTAGGAGGACTAAGGGGATGACAAAGGAACAATAATGAACAAGTAAAACTGTGTAAAATCAAGAACTGCACGAAGAAAAAGGACTTATAAATGCTGTATATTGTTTTCTTCGGTTATCAAATTTGTTCCCATTTTTTCTAACAAAATTAAAATTATCAAAAATTAAAAAAAAAATTATCAAAAACCTTAAAAAACCTCAGGCTGACTCTTCTAACAAATCACATCACGTTCATTCGATTGGCTCCATTGGCTACGAGAGATTTCTAAGCCCCTCTTTCTATTAGATAGCTTATAGAAAAAGTTTTTGTTTTTTTTCACCATTCAAGTCCATTATAACTGGGACGCCTATGTTTTCACCTGTTCTGCCCAGATCATTACGAGCTTGAGCTGGTTCTTCTTGTTTTAACACCACTCAGCAGCAAATAGATTTACGTCAGTTATGAAAAATGCATCAGCTTATAAGACGATATTTTTGCAGATGGTATTAAGATAAGATTACAAACGATAAATCAAAGGCTTATGCAGTCATTTGCGATTTTATCATACTGATAGATCGTTCGACGGCAATGTAAAACTGCCTTAGGCATGATCAAAAGTATAAATAGGTGCTTCATTGGGTCATAATAAGATAGTGCGCCAGATAGATGCGAATTTGATTTCGCGATTCTACTGGTCCCATCAGATAAAGATGGTATTCTAGGCACCATTTAACCGGATTTTTGACTGTAATTACGTCTTTTGGTATCAGAGTAGTTCAAAATATTAAAAATTCAAGACTTCCTCAGCCGATAAATTTATAAAAATAAGCATTTTCTCAGCGCCTGGTGTCTAAAAAGAAAGGAATTTTATATTTAAGAAATTTTATATTTTAATCTGGAGCCAGAATTTCGCTACATCTATCGATAGCTAGTCTTTTATCCGTTATAGTCTTTCGTAAGTATCAGCGATAAGGACTAAATCACCAGCATATTCAATATTATTCGATATCATTTGATGCCATGCTCCGACTAGTTTATTAAGTGCGGTTTCATGATATAACTCCATAAGCTTCGCTCTATCAACTGAATCGAAGAACAGCGGCAGAATCAGTAGAGCAAGAGTTAAAGATAGGTTGTCGATTCGAAACCATCTTCCAACAATCTTTTTAGTATCAAGATTTGGTTACTGCATTATGCTCTAAATTCAGAATGCCTGTCCTGTCGTGTTGCCATAAATCTATTTATGCAGGAAAAGTAATAGAATAGTAAAAGTAAAAGTAATAAAAAGTTTCCCAGAGACGTCTAGTGGCTTAATTCTTCCAAAATTCCCAGAATATGACCTATCAGCCTTGGTTATTGAGAGCAGTGATTTCTTTGTTCCAATCTTGTGGTTTAGTTAGATCTTCTTCTAACGTTATTTCTCGCTGGCAGGCTTCATTGGTTGTTTTCAAGCAAAATAGAGCCTTTCGCCACAGTGACACATCTCAGCATTTTACTTATAATGATAACTTTATTCCTCTCAAGAAACAAGAATCGAACCTATGATACTTAACTGTTAAGTCGTAAATCAACATACATTTTCTCTCACTTAATAATAAATATAAATAATAGAAGTAACAGTTTGAAAAAATTTCCAATCACTTAAAATGAATTTAAAATGATAAAAATTTAGCAAATGTTGTTCGAATCGGATGAATTCCCCTTTGAAGGTTGAATGACATTCACCATGAAACCAGAATTTGATTCATTTTTAACGATTGATTTATCGATTGCAGTTTGTTCTATTGTTGGTCATCGTGTTGTTTAAATTGATGAATGGCCTTCAAGAAATAAAATTTGAACTGAATTCTGGGAATTTTTTTCAAAAATGATAAAAAATTTTTTAACAAATAAATTTGTAGGAAAACAACCCTATGTTTCACTGGTAATTTTTTCTATAGAATGTAAAATTTTGTGTTTCGAATAAATTAACAATTACGGTGGAAACTTTCCTTATGAAGCATTTATTCATCCCTACTCGATTGCAATGCAATTCATTCATTAAGAGACTATATAAATGTGTCTCAATCCTTGTAGTTGAAAAACTAAGCTAAAACTCAGAGTTTAGTTTAGACTCATAAGGATTTGATATTAACGTAAAAAATTTTACATTGCAATGGATCAAATATAGCCTGAATTTGGATACAATTTGTTTGATCTGATGGCTTAAAATTACTGCAATTCATGCAGAACTAAACTAAGAACTCATAATCTCTTCATTCTTACTGCTAAAAGGTAATCTATATACTTAGCAGATTCCAAGATGAACCTCGCTAGAACTCGAGTTTACAGGATCCTAGGATCTTCTTCTGGCTAAGTCCACAAGATCGCGAAAATAATAAATAGCCCTTCCAACTTCATCGCACTTCCTTAACGATAACCAAAAAAGCAAAGTTGCCATATGGACTTATCGTAATAAGCATCGTTTTTACCTAAAACTAAAATTTAATAATGAGTTTGATGTAACAATGTTATTGAATATATTTTTTTCGACATATATTAATTTATTATTTAATATTAATATTAAAAATGAATTAATTCTTCTTTTTCTAATAGTTCTCATCATTACTGGTTAGACTGGCTCCGCTGGCTACAAAGATAAGACATCTCCAAGCTGCTCGGTTCCCTAATCGCCATCCCTAATAGTAATAGAAGCCATTCCATTTTCCATCGTCTAAGTTTATGTATTGCTAGTCCAACTATATGTTCAAAATCTTTCAGTCCAGGCCTTGCTTCCTCCTCGCTTTCGACGCCAACTATCACAGGGTTTAGCAAATAAGAAAATATGCGTCAACTCCTGTGGTGTGCGACGAAGAACGTGCCCTAACCAGTGAACCGACTCATAATATTAATATTAATACAGATGCTAGTTGAGCAAAGATCAGTCGAATCAAAGGCATCCTCAAAAATCGATAAAGCAAGACTGTGAAGCAAGGTGTGTTGCTGGTATTTGAAGAGATATTCCAGCACCCTTCTTAGCAAATATCTGGTGAGCACAACCGCATCCCAGCTAAATCCAGCTTGGTTAGGAAGCATTCTGGTATTTCATGTTGCCATGAGTCTATTTAGCCGAAGGGAAGCAAAAATTTTTACGGAGATGTACAGCAGGCTGATTCCTCGGTAATTGTCGAAGTGTATCTTGTCTCTTTTCTTAGGAATTGGAAGCAGAATTGCTTTGCCCCAGTCTTCTGGTATTATTTCCTTTTGCCATACATACATTTGTTGAAGGTGAGTTATGAACGATGATGGGATTTAAAGAGTTCGACCTGAAGACCATCTTCTCCTGGAATCTTATTGGTTTTAAGCCTATGAATTACAGAGATAACAGAAATCATTTTCTCTTTTGGCGGTTCGCAGTTGTAGACATATGGCAATCAAAAAATTCTTTCCATCTTAATAATAAATTAATAATAAAATATTAATTTAATAGTTTCTGAATTGTTTATTTCTTTTCGTTTATGTATTGTCAGCAAAATTTACCCAAATATTCTCAAAAGTAGCAAAAATCACGAACAGAAGGATTAGATAAAGAAATAAATAAGCGAAATTTGTGGTTCAACTGTATAACTATTCGATCAGACTGCAAAATTTTCGACCGAAATAAAAGTTTTTGCGAACGAATTCATGGACGATTCGTGATATGAAATAAGTAATTTTGGTGTTTTTGATGCTTTAGATAACTTATAATATTTCTTCCAGTCGTTGTTTCCTCATTGCATTTATTTCCTTTTCATTTCTTCGGACGAATTCAACTGCACTGCTATTTGTTCACTGGTTTTCACGCTTAAATGAGTTTAAATTTTTAGAGATTTATTCCTACCGGAAATAGAACCACAGCATAGGTGCTTTGCAATGCAAGTAACAACTTACTTAGTCATACTTCGTTTAAATAAATACGGAAGTTAGTATCTGAACTACAGAAAAAGCAAATTATTCGTTAGATACAAATTCATTCAATGAAAACTTTTTAAAACTTTAGATTTATTAGATTTAGAATTTGGATTTATTCAAAACTTTTAAATCTAAAATTTAAATCTTATGAGAATTAAATAAACAGATCTATATTTAAACAAATTAAATAAACCTTACTTATTCTTTTTGATATGATTCGATCATTTTGATTTCTGATTTATTGAATTAACCAAAAGATAAACAGCTGAATAGCACCTTCTTTATAGGCCATAGCAATCTTTCACCCCACGTAATTATTTTCTAAATTTTATTTATCGTAAAATATTTCACTCAGAGAAAATGATAATTGAAATTTTTTCCATTCTGTACGCAGCAACCTTCGAATTCGAAACGGAGATTCTGACGTTCGATATTAAAAATTATGATATAACAGTAATGTCGTTGCAACGAAATTTTTTCCTTCATGGAATTGTTGCAACGAGATTTGCTATGCTTTACTTATATTATTATTCGGTTTGAACTGAAGCAGAATTCAACATAATGAGGCAAAAAATAATGAGAATCATGGTAGAAATACTATTCTTCCTTCTAATATTTAAAAGCGCTATCACTATTGTTTGATGTTTTATTGGTTTTTTAAACGATTAATTTAAGAAAAAGAAAAAAACTAAAAAATTGATAATAAGAAATGTCTAATAATGTCTGATATGTGATTATCATCAAGAATAAAGATTAAATTTCTCTGAAAGAATATTTTGATTTGCAAAAAGATGATTATAATTAGAAAGAATTTTGTACAATTAAAATTTTTCGATTTTTGAGTAATTTCAATTATTTGTGATTATTTGAAAACCTGTTTTTATATTCTACCATTTTTCTCGATAAATAGATGTAGATTTTAAATTTTATAAAATACCTTTTTCTATTTCTTTTTCACCAGTTACTAAATAAATCGAACTACGTGTTTATATTTTTTATCGCTATCAAAAAATTATTGCTCCATACATTTCTGCATTCATTTTAATAATTTATTAATTAGTTTGCATTCTTCTTTTTCTTAAGAGTCCTCACCATTACTGGTTAAACTCGCTCCACTGGCTTGTCGCATTGAGCAATATGCCAGGGAGTCCCTTGGCGATAGAAGTACAGGTGAGTCGCCAGCATCATCCGGACTTTTGTACAGATTTGCTCCTGCGTAGAATCGAATCGCAGCTTCAACTTCTCCAAATTGAGCAACAACCCACTGAGCCATCCTATTTCCTAATTTAGTTTGCATTAGTTGATAAGTTGGTGATACATAATATTTCTAGTTAGGTTAATTCCACCGGCTACCAACATATTAAGAAATTTTTGGAGGAGATACTTGGCAATAGTAGTACAGTTGGGTCGCCAGCATAGATCGGGTTTTAATGAAAAGTTTATTCTTGTGAGGTTCAAGTAATCGGATCCTCTGATGCAAACCGAGGAAACCATAACAATCGGCCATCCATGTCTGTCTAAAATAAGTTTTTAAGTTTTTTTTTTGTTTCATTGATTTTCATCTGAAGCGTGAAACTTTGAATTAATTTTATTGGTGACTCAGTGTTGATGCAAAAATTTGTTCCATACGTGTCTATAGTCATGGATTTACATTTTATTATGGGGGACTCTGCAAAATGCAAACGCTCTTTTTCTGTTGAATTAATTAAACGATTATGTAATTTATCAAAACATAATGAAAAGATTTTCCAATAATGGATCGTTTATATCCATTAGCACAGATTTTTTATGTCGTTTATTTTGAATTATTCTTCGTACGGTATGGATTGCATAGGGCTAAATTTAGGATTAAAAAAGTGAATAGATACGAAAATTTATAATCCTCCAATTTTCTTCCTTGCCTCAATGGATAGTCCAGAAATTTCATGTTCATTTTTAATAGTTGGTGTTTAACATGCATAAAAGGCTGAAAAGAAATCATTTATATTCTGGAATATGGACTTTCAGAAAAAAACTGCTTAGGTTTCATGGTTAAATTATTTTTTAATTTTTCACCCTTTTGAAGGCGGCAGAAGAAATAGAGTACAAACTTTATTAACTTTTTAGGTGGAATATTAATTTTATCAAAAATGGAAAATAAAGCAACTTATGGAGGTGGGGTCTTATAAAAATATCCAGCAAATGGCTCGCTGGATTTAGGGTTGATAATTTTCGCCTTAAAAAACAAAGATAATGGTTTAGACACTTCCATTATTAATGATGACAAATTCAACAATAAACTGAGAATATCACAAAAACCTAGCAGCGATATTAGAAATATACAAAGCAAACTGGCAAACTGGCAATGAGCGTTTTCTGCAAATCAGACTGTAATTTCCAAGATTGCTAAGGTATATGAGGATCTCTACCTGCGAATCGCTATACGAGTATAAACAGTTATAAACAATTATAACGAGCGGAATATGAACGAGCGATGAAAAATTAATCGATTAGGACGATGTTAAGTGAAGATTATTCCCTCATTTCAAACGGGTTGTTACCCTCATTTCAGTGCGCCGATGTTGGAACTCTGTTCTCGATAAAGGTAAGGTGCTTCCACAAATCGGACTAATGCAGGCTTCACCAGTACTTTGCCAAATGGTTGTTTGGTTTGGTTCCAGTTTCTCTCGTCCAACAAACTAACGAAGACAAAAATGAGCCTAACCAAAAGTGTTTTCAGAAAAGAAATCGAATGAGGAATATTTTTGAATAAACGGAATGAATCATCCATCATACTAATCAACCACTTCCAAAGTCTACTTCCATCTAGAAAAAGTTACATCAATCGCGATTGAAAAAGAAATCTGCGTAATGGCCTCCTACCAGACAATCAACCAGTCTTTAAATTCAAATGAATACTACTGACAACTGGAAAAACTGAAGATAAAATATCAAGAATCAGGCAGAAAGAAGAGCATTTTGGGGACATAGCTTTTAGTTTTTTGAGAATGTCATATCTGCCATATTTGCAAGGCAATGATCAATTTAGAGATGCCAACCTGTATTGTCATCGATATTTTAGATTAATAAACAATTTTGTGTACTCAAATTTTATTTTATATAAATTGAATAGGGAGAAGAAAAATTTTATCATAAAAAAATTTCTTTAAATAAAGCGCTTATCGTCGGATTCTATTTTTAATATTATTTGACAATTATTATAAATTTTTTTTTGTCAGTAGTTCATCAAATTAAGCTAACAATGCAACAAACGCCGCATTATAAACTTTATTTCTTCAATGCGATGGGAAGAGCCGAAATAATTCGCCTAATTTTCGCTCATTGTGCAGTACCATATGAAGATATTCGTCTAACCAAAGATGAATTTGAACAAAAGAAAGACAGTTCGTTTAGTTTATTAAATCAACATGAATTTTTTGACACTTTTAAGGATTTAAAAATCTTTAATTTAATTAGAAATCTTTAATTTTTTCCTGCACAGCGAAAAAAAAATCGAATACAATTTTTTATAATTCAGAAATTCAACTATTTTGGAATTTATTTATAGTCTTTTTGGCAATCTTTAAAGAATAGTTTTAAAGCATTTCCGTTTGGGCTATTACCAGTTCTCGACGAAGATGGGAAAATTTTGTCGCAATCTCATGCAATCGCTACTTATTTGGCAGCTAAATATGGTTCAAACTTTTCCTTTTTTAAATCACTAAATTCTTATGATCAGCCTAAATATTTGTATCTGTATTTGAATATTGTTAACAACGTTAAAAATTGAAATTTTTGGAAATAATGATGGCATTCGCTTCAAAATATTAGAATCATTTTGCCTAAAAAAATAACACAGCAAGTTAATCTATAAAGTCAAAATAAATCGTTTAAATCGTGGTAAATTTATTCATCATTTCATATTTTCTGCTCGCTTACTGTGAATTTTCTTCTTGCAAAAAGTATCACAATGAGAAAACTTATGTCTTTTACTTTTTAAAAAGATTCCTTGCAAGAAAAAGATTTATTGAATTGTTCGGAATTTATATTTATATTTTTATGTAGATATTGCATTAATAAAAAAAAAATAATGCTGATACAACAAATTATTAATAAAACAAATATTAAAAGCAACAAGTATATAATTATAGGTATATAAATAAAGTATAAATATATATATGTATTGCTCATATCACATTCCATCATAATAAGCCTTTTTTTCATAAGATGTTATTTTCTTTGAAGGACTGAATGGTGCAAATGATTGGGAAGCTGCAAAAATTCAAGAATTTTTCGGAGTTTTCGCAGATTTGGCTAATAAAGCAATTCCTATATTTCGAATGCCCGATGGATCCGAAAAGGTTATTTGCAACCAAAAAATTAATATATTTAAACAATTTGATTTATCAAAAAAAATCTAAATAATTTCAAGAGCCAGAAAATGACAGAATTTGCGAAGCACAATTTAGCTCCACTTTTTAAACGCTTATCAAAGATTTTGCTTGAGAATCAAAACACTTATTTTGTTGGAAAACAGGTTCGTTTATTCGCTATTAAATTGATACATTAAAATTTTTTTAAATTTTTTTGGCTCATCATTGATAAGCCCGTTACATTAGCAATTTTGCTAGGGAGTCACTAGCAAACAAAACATAAATGACTCGCTGGCATCATCCAGATAATTACAGTTGTTATTTCAATTATATTTTAGCTCTATTTCATTAAAGAATTATTTGGCAATTCAATGGCATTCATTAATTTATTTAACTAAACTATAAATAATAAACTAAAATTGAACTCAGCAAATCAAGCAAAATTAATGAAAATAAAATAAGAATTATTTTATTAATGAAAATTGAATAAGAATTAAATAAATTAAATAAGGATTGTGCCAAAAATTGATTTGATTGTTTTTGACAGAAATGTTTTTATAATGATTTTTAAAATAAAAAGATTGGAGAATTGAAAGAATTAAAATTTTCAAATTTTTATCATTTTCTCTAAATTTCGATTGTTTTATAGGAAAAAAATGTAGAAAAATTTCAGTTAACAGTGGCTGATTTGAATATGCTTTGTATAATTGGGTTATTCGGACATATGTTTCCTGATACAATCAAAGAACATGAAAATCTTAAACAATTTCGTGAAAGAATTATGAATTTGCCAAATATCAAAAAGTGGATTGAAACTCGCCCAATAACTGAGTATTGATTCAGCGAAAAAAGAAATTGCACCATTTTTTTAACATGGCATATCTTAATGTAATTTTTGTTGGCGACAAAAAAATTGGCCGAAGTCCTAAGGTCCTTGATTAGCCGAAGAACTAATTTGCAAGATGAATTTTTTAGATTATCTGGGCAAAAAAACAACATTGTTATTTGATTATTTGACCAATTCTATTCATCAGTGTTATTTATAATTTGTATTACGCAAATAAAATTTTTTGCATAAGATTTTTCAATAAAATTTAACATTTGTTTTGAAATCTTCAAATATCGCTTTTTTTACATTTTATTGTGTGGTTTTTAAAGGTGTTTTTCTATAAAAACAACAATAAAGAAGTTTTTTATTTTTTTGATAAATATTTTATATCAATAATTTGGTATGTTAATGTGAATACATGTATTCATAGATCAAAACCTTCCAAAACCTTATTTTATGGAAATTTTCCTCAATCGCTGAAATTCCATGAAAAAATCCTTTAACCTTGTTTACCCTCAATGCCCATTCTCCTTTATTTAACTCATTAATATTTTCCTTATAGACCTCGTAACCCTCTTTTTTCTTCCAGATTCCTAATGATTTCCTGCGAACCTATCATGCACTGAAACTCTTTATGTTTCTTCTTTGCACTCTTTCTCATTAACTGAGTTTGAACATTAACTCAGTTTCTCTAGAAACCAAAGGATATGCCAGGATTCGACGGTATGTAAAACTAGTGCTTTTGATGGTCTTCGGGCTGAACATTTCAAATCTGTCCATCATCGTTCATAACTCACCTTCACTTTCAACAAATATATTCTCTGGTACTGAAAAAAGAAATAATACCAGAAGACTGAAGCAAAGCAATTCTACTTCCAATTCTAAGAAAGGTGATAAGACGTACTGACGTACTACTGCGACAATTACCGAGAAATCAGCCTGCTGAACATCTCCAGAAAAATTTCTGCTAAACAGATTCACAGCAACACGAGATAGGAGAATGCGTCCTAACCAAGCTGAATTCAGAGTGGTGGTTTTGCTGGCCAGATATATAAGAAGGGTGCTGGAATATCTCTTCAATTATTTCTTCGGCAACCCACCGTCAATTGCTTTATCGATTTCGCAGCTGTCTTCGATTCGATTAATAGAGCAGCGCTATGACGGTATCCCAGAGAAAGTTTATTCGGCCCATAAAGGTATTTATCATACTCTGGCACAGGTCTCTATATATGGTGAAATGACAGACTTCTTCGAAATAAGAACTATTGTCCGTCAGGGCTGTGTCCTTTTCGCGTACAATATTCAACTGTGCGATAGACTGGATAATGGACACCACTTGTTGGCATTCAAGAGCTGTGCGAATCAGTCCAGAGCATAGATCTTGAATACGCTGATGTCGTAGTCCTTTTTACTGACAGTTATGAGGAAATACAAATAATGTTAAATAATGTATCAACAACCGCAGCGAGAATTGGGTTCAAAATCAATGTGAATAAAACGAAAGTGTTTTCGTCTTATATACAAGATGCTGATAAAATACCTATTTTTTTCAATTTTCGAAGTGCTGGACTTTAAACATGGACTCTTGGACCCATTCTAATCCCAAATGGCCAGGCAAAGGATAAAATTGTTACTTGGATACTGAGAGCTAGAAATACATTTTTCTGGTTGATGAAACTTTTATGGAACTTCACGAAATCACCATAAAAACAAAAATCCACGCCCATATAGCTGCAATTCGTTCTTGCTATATGGCTGCGAAACATAGCCAATTAGAGTGGAAAATATTAAGAAAATTAGTCTATTAGTCTTTGATCACTCATCTCTAAGGTACAGAGGTATATTTTAAGGATCTGTCGAGCGGATAAAATCGCACTTGATTGTATCCATCTTTGCTCAATTACCACCTGTATTAATAGCGTTATCACAGAGCGCCTCCTTCGCTGATTAGGGCAAGTTCTCCATCGTCCACCACAGGGGTTGATGCATATTTCGTTACTTGCTAAACTCTGTGATGTGTGACGTCAAAAGCGAGGAAAGCTAGTCAAGACCTGGACTGATACGGTCAGAAAAGATTTTGAACTTGCCCTATAGGTAGACCAGCAATATATGGACTTAGACGATGAAAAAGAAATGGTTTCCATTACTACTAGCAATGGCGTCGAACCGAGCACCTTGGAGACATCTTACCTTTGTAGCCAGCGGAGCCAACCTAACCAGTAATGATTAGAAAAAGGAGAAAACCAGTGCTTTTATTTTTATTATTATGCAAGCTAATAAATGGAAGTATATGGTTTTTATAATTTTTATGATCTGAAACATGTGCAGTCATTGAAATAGTATTATTCCAACTAAGTAAATTAACTTATATACGAACATATTTTTTCCCATACAAAAATGTTCCTATGGCTGTGGTGCTATTAAACTATCTATCATTCGTAGTGTGAACAAATATTTTATTGGGCTGACACGGTCAGGAATAATAAGCGCAAAGGTATTTAGCTATATATGAACTTAAAAAATGCAAAAAAAATTTTATTACTGTCAGGCATTGTATCGGATTGAGACTGCGATGAATTTGGAAATTTAATCCTTCTAAAAAGCGAAATATATCCAGTAATGGTGGAGCTGATGGTAGATGAAAGGAGAATAAAAATACTTAGCATTTCAGTAACATATCTGAATTATGAGGAATTGTAAATAACTACCAAATGGATATTTTTAGAAAATTTCATCTTGTAGTTTTTCCGCTTCAAATCGGTTAGCTTATAATCCAATAATTTTTCGCTTCTATAAATATGAAAATTAAATTAAACAGTAAGAAAAAGAAATGCTCTTTTTTGGAAATAATAGTTTTGATATCTCTCCAAATATTTTGATAATAATGATAATATTAAAGAGAGAGATTGACTTACGATTCGTGTTAGGAAATCAATCAAAAGATCAAACTTAGCAATAACTCTAAATTTTACTATTCTTATAAAATACTTGGATGAAATTTAAATTAGTAAAAACTTCCATTAAAAATCAACAATATTTAAAAAGTTAAAAGAGTAAAGACAATTTTTTGTGAGTATAAGGCAAAAAAATTAATTCAATTTTTGCGCAATTTGTTGGATGAAAAGCGATATACAAGAAAAGTTGGCATTTTATCCTTTTTTTAGATCAAAAGACCAAAATTTTCCATTTTTTCTATTTGAAATAATTTAAAATCTATGGATTTGAGTTGTAATCTTTTTATTTCTTATTGTTTACAGCTTTTATTTTAAGCAAATCATTTATTTACTTTTTGAGTAAATTGAGAAATGCGAATTCGATATACTTAGACAATTTTTGAGATATTTTGTGAAAAACGAATTACCGCAAAATAATTTATTCTTTAAATAAATGAAAAACAGTGAATGATGTTTTCTATTCGTTTTAATTACTCAAAATAAGTGAACTCTTCAAAAAATTTTCATCTAAAAGGATTTTGCTTGCACTAAATTGTTTTATTTAAACAATTTTTATAGGTACAATTTTTTTATAAATCAATTGACCTATAATTAGTTTCCTTGGTGAAATCTTAGTGAGAATTCATCTTTTAAAAACCCAATATTATCATCGTCCTTAATTTATTTGAGTATGTGGTTTTATTTCAACTCTATTTTTTCATTACTTCATAAGAATCAGACTTGGATGAAAAGCGGAAAAGAAAATTAATAAATCTAAGTGCATCCGAAGCTTTGTAGGGAATAGCCTGAGTGTTGCTCAAATAATTGTACTAAGGTTTAGACTCTGCCTTCGACAAGAATAAACTTATCAAAAAATGAATTAATGGTTTAAAATGGTGGTTTAAAATTTCTCAGCAATCTGCTAGCTAAGCAAACTAGAAATAATGACTAATGACTTTATTGCCAATTTATTTTTACTTATATATGAAGTATGCAAACAAGCTGCTCGAACCCAAAAATTACTAGTTCTTTTTTATTTAATATAAATTTGTGTGAAGAAATTATACTAGATTTCTTTATAACAACTATTTACTCAATAATCATGTGCGTCATTTTAGTATTCATTAAGAACTCTTTAGATAGGCTAAATATTGCACTGGCATTCACTTCATTTATGCAAAATGGAGTGGTATGCTTCGTTTGAAGAAAAAGCTTCTCCTAGAAGTTAAATAATTTACCATTAAATCTTAATATTTATCGATCTTTATGAATGTCCGCACGAAAATATCTTGTCAAGAAGAAAAGATCCATGGTAGATTAAGTATATTCCTTTCCTTCTCGGCGAAGCTTCATTATCAGAAAATGATAAATAATGATAAAATGGATTCGATGGTAATTAAATTAATCTTTTCAAAAATGAAAATGAAATGATTTAATTCATTTTATTTCTTATATAACCAATTTAATGATCGGTAAAAAAAAAAGAAAAAGATTAAAAAGCATATTTTTCATTTTTTTATTTTTCATAATGTTTTTCATAATTTTTACGCAAGTTCATTAATTAAAATCTGAAAGCAATTTTATGAATGCCAGAAAAGAAGCACGAAAAAATTTTAAATTTTAAAATATTATTTTAAATTTTAAATTTTTTTTGTTTAATTATTTTCGATAGATTTAGATTGAATAAATGGTTTTAAATTTATTTATTTGATTAAATTAAATTTCTCAATTAGTAAAATTCTACTGTCTATCTTTATGCCCTTGAACGCCCGCACTTTATTCAGATGCCTTTCTCATTCTTCTCTAATTCATATTGACTTCTGTTGTATTATTTGATAGAATTATTGAATTTTTAATACAATATTTTATATAATAAAAAATTAAGAAAATTATCGTAAAAATATTCTAAATAAATAAACAAATAAATATTTAAATAAATTGAAATGACTTTCATAAAATTTTGCAAAAAAATTCGTTTATTCTTCTTTTGCATTTAAATTTTTATTTGTTCCTTAAAAGTTTTTCACAAAGAATTATTGAAGAATTATTTATGAAAGTTATGAGAAGAGCATGAAT